GGTAGTTACGTATTGTTTTGTTAAATAAATTAATTTTTTATACTATAAATATCTTTTTTTTCCTAATCTCCTACGAACTGATATAATATGACGAGTAATCTATTAAATTACTGTGAGATTATATGCCTCGATAACATATTGGTGCAGATTATTTTCACCCAAACAAATAATAACCCAAACTATACATTGATGCATTGTCTATGAACTCTTTCTGAAGGTCACAGAAACCTGAACGCGGAATTCGGTGTTCTTTCGCATCTGTTTTAGTTAATTTGTAACATTGGTATATGTTCCATGGTTGGCACTGCATCACAGTCATACTTGTCATTTTTAACAGATTATATATTGAAGTATTGAGATAATATATTGAGGTATTAGCTTATATATATATATGTATAAGATTATATATTGAGGTATAAGCAAGGGGCCAAATAGACGAAAGTTGTGAAGGAGTTTAAAATTTCTAGTTATGCCACTGGCTAAAGTGTGCTTGGCAGGTGGTTCATCGTGCTAGTTTTGTAGAAAACGTTTCTGGTGACAAGAGGTGATTGAGGACTATGAGTCCTTAAGCTTGATTCAGAACTTTGCAATTAGTGGAATAAATTAGTGGTTTCAATTACACTTTATACTTTTTAATTTACGATCATTCACAATGTCTAAAAAATACAATTAGTATTAATAGAATATCCTAGCAATAGCTTGCGATAGTCAGTTGTATCCATAGAGAGTATAATATTTATTTAGGTTATAAAACAATAAACTTATGATTTCTAACCACACACATCTTGACGAATGATAGTCAAAGACCATATGTCAAAGACCAAAATGACATTCCTCGCAAATTTTGAAGTATAATTAGTGGAAAAGTTAAAAGTTTGTTATCTTTTTCCACTTGTTGAAGATTACTGCCACTAATTTTGACGTTATAAATGCTTACATTGATATTAGAGGAACAAACTTCTACGCTAATTAAAACCACCAATTTATTCCACTAATTTTGAGATTCTGAATGAACCATTAGAGAGTATTTTTACTTAAAGTCTGGCACATTCTCAGGTTTTATCAATTCCGCATTCTGAAGGATTATCAATATCATGATATCAAGGGTTGTGTAATACCAATTCCAACTTTGATGCTCTTTATCGAGCATACCCTCTATAAAAGATTTTGAGATCCAGAACAGTTGGTGAGTAATCCATGAAATTTTAAGAAGCGTGCCTGTATACTCAAATCTCTCTTGAGTATTATTATGATTACCATTATTATTTTGCATTACCACTTACATCATAATACCATATAGCTTATGTATTTTCCTTTTAAGGTGGATTGGCTTTAACTTGGTTCCTACTCTGGGTTGTATTAATACAGGAATCGCCAGAATCTGACAAGTGGATATCAAATTCCGAATTGCAATATATTCAGCAATCACTGAAAGATTCAAAACCAACCGAATCCTTTTCAGTACCGTGGATAAATATTTTAACATGCAAAGCAGTGTGGGCGTTACAGGTGGCAGTATTTTGTGAATCTTGGGGATTCTATACTCTACTCACCCTACTTCCTAAGTATTTCAAAGGTGATTTTTGAAATTATGTATGAAACGAGAAAGACATAACTATTAGCTTTTCAGATGTATTTAACTTCGACATTTCGAAATCAGGAATACTTTCTGCGTTGCCCTACTTGTTTTTAGCCATAATGATGCAAGTTACAGGTCAGCTGGCAGACAGGGTTGTGCAATGGAATCTTTTAAGTGTTACCTGGGCAAGAAAAACGTTTATGGCTGTGGGGTTTTTGTTGCAAACCTGTCTCATGATGGGTGCGGCATTTGGGGACAAGCAACTGGAACTGTTCTTTGTTTAGTACTTGCGGTAGGAATGGGTTCCTTTGCTATAGTTATTATAAGGTATTATTGACATTGTACTAAAAAAATAAACTAAGCAAAAAAAGTTACCGAAAAACAAATATTAAATAACCCAGTTGACATTTGACTTTGGCATTGGTTGACTTTGGCATTTGACAATATTTTAGGATTTGGCAATAAACTGTAAACTTGCCAGACAATCCCTGTTCATTAATTTTTAATTACACTCATTAGTGTAGTGCCCAGAGACAGTTTTACCTCGGAATTCATTTACTGTGAATGTATTAATATGAAACCTTCTGTATTGTGTTTTACAGATAAAATACTAAAATGTTTACCCTTTTTTTTCGTTGCTTTTAATTTTTTATATTAGTAATTTTAGTAAATTCTTAATTATTTCCTTCTTAATTTTTTTATTTTTTTACTTTTTTTTCGAAGTAAATTTATTCAAATAAATAAATCTAATGCATAAGCTATACCTATTCTGCTTATATTCTAATCATTGAAATTTTGATTGAAATCGAATTATACAGAGTGGCGCGTCATATACGACGCGGTTTTTGCATGGAGAACAAAAATTTGTATTGAAGAGAAATTTTGTGAGCTTATGTAAGACAATTTAAAGCATTTTATAAAATTAAGTAGAGTTCTACAGGGTGTCCCCAAGTTACACATCAAAGTTATGTTTTTTGTAATGGAACACCCTATATATTAAATGATTTTTGGATTCTAGTAAAAAAAAAGGTTTGTTTCATTAGAAAAATATATGACTAAAATGTATAATTTTTGAAATACATTCACCGGCACGAAAAATGGGTCCCTTAAAACTTTGATGTATTTTAAAGGTTAATATATTTTGTTTTAACGATCCGATTTTGATGATTTTTTAAGCAGTGTGTATCTAAATTATTTGACTTTCTAGTATCTTTTTCTAAATTAAAAATGAAACTCCCCATCTGTTAATTATACGAGGGAAAACATAATGTTGATATTTTGGTGAAAGTTTGAAAAAGCCTGTGGAATATGTTAAACCAGCAAGAAATTTAAAAATCATTTTTTCATCTAGATACATCCTTTCTCGATGGTTTGTTTTTTGGCTAATCTCATTAGCTTTATTTTTGTTGGAAATACTCGCCTTTGAAGAAGACAACATTTTTTCGTAATTTTTACATTAAGACCATGCCTTAATTTTCGAGCCTAGTCCATACATCTAGTAAGTTCTGGTCCCGAAGCAGGTCTTCTTGACATAAGATTTCTTTCATTTAATCTTCTTCTTATAGTCCCTTAAGTGCAATTCATTATCAGTTTGGAAATCTGGCAAACGGCGGTTCCTTAGCGATAAACTTCCAATAAGTCGACCGTCTCGATTAGAAGTTCTCATACCTCATACGAAGGTTCCTGGACGTCTAGATTGACGTCCTCATGGACGTGGTCATAATTTAAAAACCACTTAGTATACTCTATGGTATTAAGGTATTTTTGGAACCTGAATTATTCACTGAAATAAACAATTATAGATATATATTTGACTCATTCTGTATACCTATAAAAATATTTTTGAAATGTGAACTACCATTAAACACATATTTTATAAAAGGTTTGGAGTGAAAATCTTAAATAGAAATCCTGATACAGAGCTTTTCCGGAATGCGGAGCCATCTTGTATGTATGCATTTGTATATGTGTGTTCGTTTAAATACTAAAGTGAAAGCAACGAATTTAAATGGGTAAACTTGGTAATATATCCTATTAACAATAAAATGCAAAAAGTTATATAAAAATTCGTTCACAGTAAATGGATTCCGAGATTTGTATCCCATAAAGGCTTAAAGCACTCCCCTATCAATTTTGTTCACTGATTTATTTCAATAGATTTACAGTATGCATTTGTTATGCTTTATACACTTAATAACATAGGAAATTTTTAGTGTAAATGTCTTGGATATCGCACCAGTTAATGGAAGCATTTTAATTGGACTAGTAAACACGTGGGGTAGTGTACCTGGTATCATAAGTCCCATAATAGCAGGATATATTATTTCTACTGATAACCCTGTAAGTCTACTTTCATTAACATAATTTAACTTTGATTTTATATTTGTTGCTTTGCTTTATTATTTTTATTCAGCAAATGAAAATAATGCTCAAATCTGTAAATAGTATTAGTTTAGTGATAAATTTAAGATTTCAAATATATTTTTTAGACTGTACAACAATGGAGAGTTATATTCTTTATAACAGCAAGTTTGTACCTATTTGGAGCAATATTCTTTATGGGTTTTGCGTCGGGATTAAGACAGTCTTGGGATATTCAGCCAAAAATTGATACTAAGGAATCCACCAGAACAGAGAAACCTGTGATTAGTGAAAATAGATGAATATATTTGAAACTTTATTATATATTTAAAATGCCTTTGTGATATTATTGAGTGTAAATAAGATCGATCTTCAGATGAATTAACTATAATGCATTAAAAGAAATATTTGACTTTGATTTTATTGTAAATTTTAAGAACAAAAAAATGAAAAAACTATGAATAATATTAATTCATATTTTTCATTGACATTTTTTTTATTTTTCAAGTCATTTTCATAAATATTTAAATCAATATTGTCGATTTATGACTCATGATAAACTGGGAGTTAAGTCGACAAAATGACTTAAGATAATCACCGCCAAGTCAATCAAGGCAGCCACAATTTACTTTAAAAGCTTATTTTTGAAAAATGTTCTTGCCTTTTTTTGCTTGCCGATTTTCCAATTTTTGGTCAAATTTAAAGTGTGATATTTTTGTTATTTTTAGCCCTAGTTTCACTAATTTTTTAGCAAGCTGTATATAACTATATCAACTTTAATTCGTAAACTAAGTTTTTTATAAACTTTAGTATTTGGCATATATATGTACATGGTTCATTGAGGGAATTTTTTTACCTTAACTTTAAAACACCCTATGCAATAATTTCGTTCGTAAATTTTCGTAAAATTTAATTTTACGGTCAGAACCATGTCTCCTAAGCTTTTTGTTTTTTGATTCATGTCAATACATGCTTTGAATAATTTTTAAGAGCGAAATGAACTGATCAATTAGCAATTTTTCAATTATCATTACTATTTTATGTAATTTTTTAATATGACGAGATGGATTTGATGACTATTATTGTCGTAACGTCATATTACACTGCACTGTATACTCTGTACTAAATAAAAAAAACTTTAAAGACTAGCAATTAACGATACAATCCTGGTTTTAATAAACATTAATAACGATAACAGAATTAACGATATTAAAGAAAACATCTGTAATACTCATGTACACAAATAGAAAAAAAAGTATAAAAAATACCTGCATACTTTGCATTGCCTCTCTTGGCTGCTATAACTGCCTGTATACGTCCGTTCATACTGTCATTGAGGCTGCATATATCATATTGCGTTATGTTTTCCCATTCTTCTTTAAGGACCAAGCGAAGTTCATTTAATGAAGCTGGTACCGCTTCGTGAACTCTCTCCTTCCAAGCGTTTCCCAAACGTCGAACATGATGGGCAGTTAATAGTAGCACAGATTATAAACTTTGTTTTTTCTTTATAGTTTTTCATGGTTCCAATTTTCGGAATCGGACACTAGTTAGGTTACTAGTTTGCGCACATAGCACGCCCACTTATGGCCTCTAAAATTGTGCACACCGCCTGACAGCGCCTGACCGGCACAGTTATTAGAGAGATATCGGAAAACCGAATAGCGTCATGCAGTATTTACGCGTACCTTATCATGGTCACGATATGCACGAGTCAATTTTTAACGCAACACCCGCTAAGAAAGTTACCGTCTGACGTAATTTGCGGATGAATTACACAAAGCGCTATTTCTAAATAACGTTTAAAAATTGCTTAAATATGCGGGTACATTTGACAACCGGGGCCGGCCGGCGAGCGGCGAGATCTTTTATTTTAGGTTATGTTTGAATTGTTTTGAATTATTATTTTAGTTTTATTAGGTAATTTGATATTTAAGTAGCTGGGATTAGTTTTAATTAAATAAATATGGCCCAAAATATGGATTCCACCTCTTCCAATATTAAAGAACCTATAAAGAGGCTTAGGTTTACAGCAGATGACGACTTAGCCCTTCTAAGAGAATTTGTTGCTTGTTGCCCTAAACCCACTAGCAGACGTTGAACAATGAAGCACTGGAAATAAGCACTTTAGCCCTAGTAAACAAAACAATATACTTAATACCTAGTAACAACTTAATACCTAGTAAACAAAACAATTTCAAAGTTTTAAATTCAAGTTAGGTTAAGTTTAAATAGCGGACGCCACGCGAACAGAATTCTTTCCGATCCGATAACTATGAATGAAGAAAATTAATACCACCTCACGTAAAGGAAATAACACCTGGCCTTATTAACATCCATGCACGCTATTCGGTTTAGCAATATCTCTCTATTACGCTGTTTATTGTTATTTTACGCGAGTTTATTTTTGCGCACAGGAAATTTTAGTCGTTTGCACATCGTCATAAAAAACAATTTTCGTACCACGAATTAGGGATAAGATTTTTATCTGTATACATATAGTTTACCTAATCTGTGATAGTAGTGTCGTAGTATAGAGTTCACAATAACCACCAAAGCCGCCTTGTCATATTGAAAAATAACTTCAAAAATAAATAATAATTGAAAAAATTGCAAATTGTTGGTGGCAAGTTCATTTTGGCTCTTAAAAATTAACCAAGACGTGTATTGACATGATCCAAAAAACAAAATGCTCTGGAGACATGGTTCTGACCGTAAAAGTATATTTTAGGAAAATTTACACACGAAATTATTGCACTGGGTGTTTTAAAGTTAAGGTAAAAAAACAGCCCCTCGATTAACTCTGTATAATATGCCAAATACTAAAGTTCATAAAAAACTGAGTTTACGAATAAAAGTTGATAAATTTATATACAGCTTGTTAAAAAATTCATGAAAATGTTGCTAAAAATAACAAAAATATAACACTTTAAATAAGATCAAAGGTATATAATAATACCAGTCAAAATGAAAATTCCAAGTTTATTTTTTTCACAGTCACAATACCTTTCAACATAAATTCAATTTAAATCTAGTTCTCAAACAATCTCACTTTCTCGTGAAGATAATTTTGATATAAATCCATTTTTTATGTTGGCTGTTAAAAATTAACATGAAAATATTTTGCCAAAATATGTTTATTGCTATAAAAACATCGTGTCCTTTATTTGACTTATTTTATATCAAGTGCCAATCCATTTTTTATGTTAATTGTTAATAATTAATTTTAAGCTTGCCTTAGCATTATGTAGAAATTTTTATTTTTGTATTACAGAATCATAATGAAATATTTTCAATGTTTATTTAAACGGTGCAATAAGTCTTTAATTAAGATATAAATATTATATATATGAAATTTTTTATTAGGTATGTCATTAGTATTTAATTCGGAGAGATGCAAGTAATATTTTAAAAACATCTTTTATATTTTACTTGATCAACATAGTAACTAAGATACCTATACGAAATCATGAGAGACAATCAGCTGTGTAATCAAATTGATAATAGAACCGCGTAAGTATTAAATATTTTAATACTTACTTATTTCAAACGACCTTAATTTTTTAATATACCGTTGCATTCGATTTGGTTTTCAGAACACCCACCTCGAATTGGAAATTTTGGAAACAAAGACGATACATTTTGGCTATCTTAGTCTTTTTCGGATATGTAAACATTTATTCTTTACGAGTTAACTTAAGTGTAGGTATCGTGGCTATGACCCAGGATAGACATGTTACGTTTCCAAATGGCACTGAAGCAAATATAGTACGTTAAAAATGCAAAACTTTAACGTTATATAAATTATATTCATTTAAACAGGGTCCAGAATTTTCATGGGACAACAAAATTCAAGGTTACCTGTTAAGTTCCTTTTTCTATGGTTATATAATGACTCAAATTGTTGGTGGATATCTTTCCAGAAGGTTTGGAGGAAAGCTGATCTTCGGAGGAGGAGTTGCAGGAGCTGCTTTCTTCACTTTGCTAAGCCCGTTGTTAGCTACCATAAACGTATATCTTCTTCTGGTTGGAAGAACTTTAATGGGAATATTTGAGGTAACTCTAAACGTGTTGGGTGCTTTCAATCATCTCTACTCAAAGATATTTTAAGGGCGTGACATATTCGAGTTTATTCTATTTGTGGGCCAAGTGGATTCCACCTAGTGAAAGAAGCAGATATGCCAGTCAATCAACTTCAGGCAGTTATGCTGGAGCCGTTTTTGCCATGATGTTTTACGCATATCTAGCTGACAGCAGTGGATGGAGAAGCATCTTTTATTTTTCAGGTAAGGAAGTATAGAGAGACTTCATTTTATTTATTAAATCTAAGTAAATATACGGTATTATACCGTGGTATTATTACTGGCAATGTCATATGTATTTCTAAATTTTTCCAAAGCTCATTGTAATTTAATTTTCTATTCATATACTCAACCTCACCGCATGAGTTTATATTCGAAATTCGAAGGTAAAATATAATCATGGGCGAACAATATTATTTATTTATTTTATTTTATTTTACTCCTTATAAACACCTACTGAGGTAGCTACATGCAAAGGCCTAAAAAAACAAATACAATCACAATTACTTAAAACTAGACAAATCAACATGTAAAATCAACATGCAAAAGTACATAAAAATAATATATATATAAATATATAAAGTATATATAATAATAAATAGTATATAATAATAAAGTACATAACATCTAATTTATAGAATGTGGCAATAAAAAAACAATGAAATCCATCACACCAGATTTGTCTCCTGATGCAACAACAAGATGAGTCTAAGTTCGCCAAACTTAATGTTAAACATATCGGCAATTGTGTTCCCAGACAACATATCGTTACAAATGGTGAGCATAAACGTGAATGGCGAGGAGCTTTATCACTTATCACAATCAATATAAAAAAAAATAAACTCACTCACTCTCAACCTAATCTGTGGTAACCTAAATTTGATGCTCTTAATCAGACCACAGTCAGCATATTTTAAATTATTAAGAATGTTATATTATATAAAGATGACAGTCTGTGTCCTTCTCCTAGAGGCCATCGAAGTTAACTGAAATGTTTCCAATATTGATCTGTAAGAGAAGGAAACTTTTTTGAACCTTCTCAATCTCGTTACTGTGAGTGTAACAATTGGGAGACCAGATATTTGACGCATATTCAAGATGCGGTCTTGCTTAAGAGAGGTATAAAGTATAAAGTCTTGTAGTTAATTGTATATCGAAATCTTTACTATTACGCATAACAAAACCAAGAATCCTATATGTCTTGTTAATCAGGTAGTTGTAATGATTGTTAAATTTAAAAATATTTTGTCCTGAAAAACCACTCCCAACCTTACAACTTCCAATATAGTAGTCTTCAATGACTGTATTGATCTTCCGGGAAAAAGAAACAACACAGCACTTTCCAGTATTAACAAATATCTTGTTCTCCTTAAACCAGTCCAGAGCTAAGATCAAATCACTTTGGAGAGCCCTAGTATCATCAATATTATTAATTGGTTTAAATAATCTAAAATCATCCGTAAACAACAGCTCCAAAGACTCCACAGACTCTCAGGCAAATCATTAACAAAAATTAAAAACAAAAGAGGGCCTAATAGACTGCCCTGGGTACCCCGGAGATGGCAACATATTGATTGGAATAAACATTACCTATCTTTACTCTTTGAACTCTTGAAGTTCAGTATGAAGTTAAAAACCACAGCGACTCAGCTGATTATCATTTCGGATTCCTCCAAAATGCAACGGATTCATTATTATTCAACGGGTTCAACACAGCTTTAATGTTTTATTTTAAGCGTGTCTCTGGGTTGGTACATGTGACATGTTCTTTAGTTTTTGACTTCATATTCATATGTAATTTAGAGTAGTAATGGCCCGTGTTAAACCTTAGCCATCTTAGGTTCGCAGACGAGATGGTCTTGCTGAGCACCGACATTCAAGAACTGAACACCATGCTAAAAGAGCTAAATGATCAATCCGAGTAAATTGGCCTTAAAATGAACTTGAAGAAGACCAAGATAATGAGCAACAATAGCCATAATATTACCGTAGACAACGTTGTTATTGAAAACGTAGACTATTATATATATTTAAGTTATAAAATCGAATTGGGTAAAGAGAACCAAAATACGGAGATCAAACGCAGGATCCATTTGGCATGGGTAGCATTTGGAAATATGAGTGATATTTTCAAGGATAAAAAGGTGCCCATCGACCTAAAGAAAAAGGCTTACGACAGCTGCATCCTACCTGTGCTTACGTACGGCTTAGAGACTATTGCAATTACCCGAAAAACAGCAGAACAACTACGAGTTGCACAAAGAGCCATGGAAAGAATCATGTTAGGAAAAAAAAAGAATCACCATGAGGGAAAAAATGCGGAACACCCACAAAAGTCAAAAAACAAAACTAATAGAGAAATGTGGTTAAAAGAGTGGCAAGTCTGAAGTGGCAATGGATCGGACATGTGGCAAGGCAGGATTCAGACCGATGGCCTCAAAAACTCATTCTGTGGAGACCTAGGGGTTAGGAGTTCCCCTAGGGGTTAGGAGCCAAGGAGTTCGAAGAACAAAACAAGTGTGGGCCGACCAAAAAAGTGGCGGGAAGAGAATGGGTAAGATTGGCTAGAGATCGCGAAGCATGGAAAAACCTAGGAGAGGCCTGTATCCAACACTAGATGGAACCAGACTGAGAAAGAAGAAAGAAGAATAAGAAGAATGGCCCGTGTATAAAAAAGATCATCGAACGTATGGTGACTAACTAATAGACTTACTAGACTATTAGAACAAAAAGGAAATTTTGTTCTTTGAACTCTTTCTTCCTAAACTTATTTGCAGAATGTTTTTTTTTCACAAGTGACATGACTGCTTTATCTAAGATCTACTTTGCCAAGGTAGTTTGGCACTGTTAATATATACTGTCCCAAAATTTCGTGGACATAGAAGTACTACGTATTTTTGGAATCAAAATAAGTTTATTGGACACAATTATATTTTGCATTATACCAATTACGTCATATTACAAACAGAACTTGATTATTTTGCTTTTAAGGTGGATTGGCATTAGTTTGGTACCTACTCTGGATTGTATTAATACAAGAGTCTCCAGAATCTGACAAGTGGATATCGAATTCAGAATTACAGTATATTCAGGAATCAGTAAGAGATTCCAAACCTACCGAGTCCTTTTCAGTACCGTGGAAAGGTATTTTAACATGTAAAGCAGTGTGGGCATTACAAGTAGCAATATTTTGTGAAGCTTGGGGATTTTATACTTTGCTCACGCTACTGCCAAAGTATTTCAAAGGTAAATTTTGAATTTATATATAAAACACAAAGACAAACTATTAGTTTTTTCCAGACGTGTTTAATTTCGACATTTCAAAATCAGGAACCCTTTCTGCGTTGCCCTACATATTTATAGCCATTATGATGCAATGTACAGGTCAGCTGGCAGACAGGGTAGTGCAATGGAAACTTTTAAGCATTACCTGAGCAAGAAAAGTTTTTATAGCTGTAGGATTTTTGTCGCAAACATGCTTTATGATGGGAGCGGCATTTTGGGGTGAAGCAACTGGAACAATTGTTTGCTTAGTACTGGCGGTGGGACTTGGTTCTTTTGCTATAATTATTATAAGGTATTATTGACATAGAATTGAAAAACTAAACTATTAAAAGAAGTTACAGATAAAGTAAATAGAACATTTATTCAAATTATAGTTAATTAATATTATATCCATAATTTTTTTGTAATTCATGGTAAACTGCCTGACCCGGCTTTGTACTTTGTACTTTGTAACTTTGTACCACTTAGCAGTGAAGTGAAGTTCTTTTGCCATAAAGTTAGGCTTTTTGATCTGGAATGATTGACATCAATCGATTTGACAGTTCTTCTCATTTGTTGTATATATTTTTTTGCATGTCGGTTTTATACCGATTTGGTCATCGAAACTGCATCGGATTTTAACGTGTATAACAGTGATGTCGGTTAATGCTTAATGTTCCAGCTTACCAGTTCCAGCTTAATGGAAAATCAAATGTGTTAAAAAGAGATAAAAGTTGGGTTGATACATTTCTTCTATGCGGTATTGCCGGATTTTGCATCAAAATTTCAAACCGCACAAGTAGGCGTTTACGAAAAATGTTGCATCTAAGGTTGGAACTGTATTTTTCACTATTAGTTACTCATTCTACTACAGCTGTAATAGATTATATTTAACTTAGATATCGTCCTATTGGTGCCAAAAGTCACTAACTAACATTTTTCCGAACCTGAAAATTCAATCACTAACTGTATTTTGAAGCGGAGAATCGATTGAAAAAGTCATTAACTACGATTTCTGGCTATTTATGTTGTATTTTAATACCGAATAGTTACTAACTATAACATTTTTATGCAATGCAATTCATCTTTAGACGCGTTTTTCTCGGAAGTAATAAAAAGTAAGTTAGTGACTTTTGGCAGCAATGGGACGATATATTATCTTCATTTCAGTAGGATACATAAAAGTTTTTAAAATAGTTTATATATTTCTACATACATTTTCCTACAAACGTAAAAAACCGGCCACACTGTATGCCGCTTTTGAGTTTGTCTCTCTGTCTGTCAACCGGTCATTTATATTATGATATGTCACACGCATTAAAATCCAGACCACATAGTTTGAATGACCAGCAGGGTATAGTTCAATAAAGTTCTAGAGCTGTATATGCTATATTTCCACTTGTTTTCCTTTGAATTTCTATTCTATAATGTCTAGCATGTTACTCATTTGCAGTGAACGTCAATTATTATAATTAAACTATAAGAGTTCCTAATTTAATTTAGGTGCTTAAAAATAAATTTTCTGTATAATTAATATTTCTGTGCTTATTTTCGATATTTGTAGAATGTAGAATGATTGGAAAAGAGGTTAGTCACCGCGATTCTAAAGATCTATTGTGTCCCTCTTTCTTGAGTCACAACTCAGCATACAGTCTATAATTCATCATACATAGGGATGGATGTTCTTGTTGTAGGAGGGACAGGGTATTTCCCACCATCATCTAACAACAGCTGTTTATACTCCGAGGAGTGAACATCTACCTCCTACCAGGGTATACACCCTTCTACGATTTGAGTTTAACCCTCCGTGTCTCTCACAGTCGAGGAACTTGTCTCCGGCAGGTGACCGTGAGGTGGAGGCTGGAGGATCTGGCTCCATTTTCTCCATCTCTTTAACTTGGTCTCTTCTTAGACCTGACACCAGTGTTGTCCCGGATCTATAATAGAGGATACGTCCCTCTTTGTTTGTTGTCTCCTTGGATTTGGGGTTAATTCCTATTGTGAGGACCTGACCATGGCCCTACTCCCTCGAGTTGATGATTCGCCAACTAGATGTCCTTACATTGGAGTGACAAAGCAAGTGATACGTCCCTGCTTGCTTCCCAATGTTGGGGACGGCTTTCTATCCTGGATTTTTCTCTCCTTGCCGGAGCAGAGGTGAGTGGTTCTCGTTGACCTTTGATAGAAATGAGCCAGGCTGTTTCTTGGTTTATTTACTCTCCGCTTGTTCGAGAAGTGTTTTCGCTTTTGCTTTCTCTGGAGCAAATCCTTCGTGGCGCAGTCGGAGGTATCTCCGTCCCCTGCTCCGCTGAGGTCTACTCTTTGGCCGGGTAGAGGAAAGGGTATCTTGTGTAGCCTGTTGAGTCTAGAAGTAGGCTCTCGGCCTTTACTAAAGGAGGTAGCAGCTTGTGTGCCACTTGTGGACGCTGATTTCGCGCAAGTGTCAGCTGCCTCTGCTATAGTTCCCTTTGGGTTTGGTCCCGTGAAACTTGCACTGTTAATGTTTTCAGTGTTGTTAGGGATTCCACTCCAGCTTCACCGCAAGGATTAGTCGATCCTACTCTACAGAGCCTCTCAGGTAATGGGCAATACAATAGTGTGCCCCCTGGTGTCCTGAAATTTGAGACCAGTAGAGGCTAGTCCTCTATCTAGCCACGCATCCCATTGACCTGGTCCCACCATCGTAGGCTTTAAGTTTTTGGAAAGGTTCTTGAGTTGGGCGATTAAGCCAGGATATCCCACACCTTCTGCCCCTGTGACATAACCGCAGACAGTAGGTAATGCCTGGTACACCGGAAATGGTATTCCCATCCGGCATCGTTATATATCTTGGTGCAATTCCCTGGCCACTACAATAAAACCAGGGAGAAGACAGCAACATGCTCCTTCGACCTAGCCAAAGTGCCAGAGGGGATTACCCCTATAGCACCTTACTAGGAGCGTCCCCACCAACTTCAAGGTCTTGCATCTCCTAGGGTAAGATTTTCGATATTTAAATAGTTATTCTGTTATTCCGAGCGGAGACAAATTCAACAAATCGGAGAAATCGGAGAAAAAATGGTCTAACTTTTTCAATTGTTATTGTCTATATTATAACCACTTCTGTACCTTCTCTAACTTTTTAGTTTTTGTTGATTTACAGTATACTTTAGCTATACCTACTAATATAAGACATTTTTAGTGTAAATGTTTTGGATATCGCCCCTGTTAATGCAAGCATATTAATTGGATTAATAAATACATGGGGTAGTATACCTGGTATCATAAGTCCCACTATCGCAGGATATGTGGTTTCTACTGATAATCCAGTAAGTCTACTTTTAGTAACATTAAATAAAATGTATAGCTTTGGTTTAAAATTATCTGTTTGCTTTGATTTGTGTTTAGAAAATAAAAATATTTCTGAAATCTGTATATTGTTGAAAGTGATAGATAAAACTTGTTTGTTAATATATATAAATATACAGGGTGGCCCGAACTGTATTCCGGAGACTTCGGCAGCATATTCTGCACTTTCTGAAGTAAGCATCAAAATCAAATTTCTCATGTCAAAAAACTCCCAAATATTGACGTTACTTCAGAAATTATTTAGAAAAAATCGAAATAAAAATGAAATTTCTACATCCTGTATCTCTGAAACTAAGCTTTTAGGACATACATTTATACGAACTTTTTTACTTATTTTATCTGCAAAATATGCTGCCGAAGTTTCCGGAATACAGTTCGGACCACCCTGTATAAATTGCTATGCAAAATATTTTTAAAATAATTGCTTTTTTTAAGCCAATTCATATAATTAAAAAATATTACTTTATTGTTTTATTTTTACATTGTGTGTTTAAAAAATAAAACTAATGACCTATAAATATACCGGGTTTGCCTCAAAAGTGGCTCACCCCCTATAACTTGTTTATTCTATCAGAAAAAAAACGAGATTTGGTATGTACAGTACGTCTGCTGGATCTGTGTCTATGAAAGGAATGCGGACAAAAAACATTTAAATAAACAGCAATATATTTTATACGTCGACTTGACGAGTACGTCACCTCAAATCGCTCCGCCCACTCATTTTATTGGTCACTTGCAAATTTGTCGAATTTTTCTTGATGGGACGCGTCGTCTAATTTTTTACGAAAAACATCGAGAGAATATCGTTTCCCCTCTCACGGATACCCCGTAGCTACAGAACGGACAAACGTACTGTATATGACATAAATTAGGATTGATTGACATACTCAATTGCTTTTGGTCACTTCCTATTTCACCGGAAATGACTACAACTTTTAATTTTTAAATGACACCTTCGGTATTTTTTTACTTTATTCGATAGAAAATTACACTCTGAATAGAATGACATAATATCATATGTCAACTTTTGAAATTTTCCCATAAGGTTTATTTCAGATTGTAACATGCGATTCATAACGACGCGACAGTTTGACTCGAAATACCAAGTGTGTTGTACCAAATTATTCGTAAAAATGCCTTTTCCAAATATGCTAAAGAGGTACCCTTTTTCCGTTTGAGAAAAATGAGATATGATTAAAAATACGATTTGGGCATCCTTTAACGGGCCTGAACAAGACACGGAAAACATTAGAGGATCAAATCTATTTTTCCAAGGCTCCCAGATTAAAAATGAGTGTTTTTAACTCAGCCACTCTAGATTGAAATTTAAAATAATATATTTTTTAAGCGAAAATGTTCAAAGTTGACATATGATATGTCATTCTATTCAGAGTGTTATTTTCTATCGAATAAAGGAAAATATACCGAGGGTCCCATTTAAAAATAAAAAGTTGTAGTCATTCCCGGTGAAACAGGAAGTGATCAAAAGCAATTGAATGCCCGTCAATCAATCCTAATTTATATCATAACATACATATTTATATATATATTATAACATATTTATATAACTAACATACCAAATCTCGTTTTTTTATCAGAAAAAATAAAAAAGTTATAGGGGTGAGCCACTTTTGAGACACGCCTGGTATATACAATGTGATCAAAATGTTTTCTGATCAAGCGTGTTGTGGGGGATGACTGATCGATGGTGATTAATGATTATAAATTCTTATGGAAAACCGCTCGATCATAAAACATTTTGATCATACGGTATTAGTTTAGAGATAATATTTTCAAGTTTGACACTTCAAATGTATTTTCTAGACTGTACATCAATGGAGAATTATATTCTATATAACAGCAGGTTTGTACCTGTTTGGAGCATTATTCTTTATGATTTTTGCATCTGGATTAAGACAGTCTTGGGATATTCAACAAAAAATTGATCCTGAAGAATCCATCAGAAAAGAGAATCCCGAGGGGTAAACCGCAGAGGAATTATGGTGTACACTATGAAGGAATTCTACAGGAATTCCAAGGAATTACGAGGAATTCCAAGGAATTCCATAGGAATTACTAAAAATTCCAATTATTTCCGTAAGAATTCCAATGAATTCCAAGGAATTCCTTAGAAATTTAGAGGAATTCCACAGGAATTAAGAGGAATTACAAGCAACTTTATAAAAAATTAACGAACATTAGTAAACCATGAATACTATAATAGGTAGTACTAAATTTAAAGAAAAACGTTTTGCAGGTGATTTTTTACTATCCGTTTTTCGTTTTCGCTTCCAAAATTTCCCAATATCAAATATCTACAGGTTAGATATTCTTTTAATTTAATATTGTACCCTCGATTATATATCTAAAATATTTTCCAATAGTACGGCCGAACCACCCCCGAGAGATCTAGTTATAACGTTCCCTGATTTCGCCATTTTAAAGAAACCCTCATAAGATTTTTTTATTCAGTACTCCAGAAAGTGTAAAGTTGATTTTTTCATTTCCTCGGAATAATACCTAGGTATATACTATAGGGAAATTAATACAACTTTAGGTGCACTTCATCAATGATACCATGCGTAATCTTATGGAATTTACTGGTGATCGTATTATGACGTGCAACTGAAGTTTTATTAATTTCCTTTCCTATAGATACGAGTATAACTAGGTACCTCTCATTTTCAAAAAATCCCGAGAAAAATTAATTTTAATAAGTAAGTGCCGACATATTTCCAGTATTTTTACCTCATGATCCCCTATTGGTACTAAAATTTAACTAAAAAAACGTAAATCTCGTAATAGTACTTTTTATTGTTAGATCTAGTACTTATAGAGACATTAGACATTTATAAAAATCACCAGAAAATTCATAGCGGAACTGCGAAACCGAGGTGGCAACGCTGGTTCAGACTGAAAGAGTTAACGAGTTCATACCAAGGAATTCCAAGGAAGACCTTGAATGATTGACCTTGACCTTGAAGACCAGGAATTCCAAGGAATTCCGAAGGAATTACGAGGAATTCTGAGGAATTATTTGAGTAAAAGGAATTACGGTGTACACTTTTCCCTCTGCGGTTTACCCTCGGAGAATCCGAAAATTATTGAAAATAAATAAATATTTTTTAAACTTTATTATTTATTTAAAAATGTTTTTGTGATATTATAGACTGTAAATATAATTAATGTTTTTTCAAATGAACCAACTATACCAATAGATCAAATAAATGTTTGACTTTTATGAGAAATGTTTCATTGTAAATTTTAAGAATAGAATGTCATAAAAAACAAGGAATAATATTAATTCTTATTTAGATATTTATCCTATACTACACATATTACGACAATTTATATAGATTATTTTGCTAATAAGGGTAATTTTACTATTAAACATTATTTTGTTATTATCTGGTAATTTGTTGACTCCAAGTGATTCATTTTGGTTACATACAGGGCCCGGCAATAGTGCGTTGAGCATCTGTTGCTCCTATAATAAAAAGGAATTTTGTTATAAGTGTAAACCTATAGTATGTGTTAGGATGTATTTCAGGAAAATATTTAACTTCTTTAGGGTGGCTCAAAAAAGTGTGACTGGATCAGGATGATATTTTTTAACTTGTGTATTATTGCACTTTTGGCTTTCTTTCTAATCACTTTATATAATCCTAATATGTTTTGATAGTTTCAATTTCTAAAATGTATTTATTAATATCTCAATAAATACATTTTAGAAATTTCAGCCTTTTTTAAAAAATATATTAAAAATAGAATAAATGTCCTGAACTCACAACTATACTAGGTATTTATTATATTTCGTCTGTACTTACTTTCCGATAAATATTATAATATTAAACCTTACAGGGTGTTCAAAATTCTATGCCAAACTGTCTAAAATATAAAATAATTTTTCTTGTTTTTTTTTTTAAATCGAACACCCTGTATATTATTTCTTTGCTAGAAGGAGAATTAAAAAACAAACATAGTTTGTATTTAAAGTATTTCTAAATTTTTTCAAAAAAAAATTCAACCAAAATCTGAAATTTCTTCAAATAAATTATTGATTTTGACATCACAATAGAGCTCAAACCATAGACTTAAAATAAAATATAGACTGAGCATCTCATTCATAAATAGCTGGAACATGCGGTCAGACACTGTCTTGTTATTGTTGTGTTATTGTTTTAGGTTATAACGAGTGCGACACGAGCGATAGATAGGTTGTCTCTGTCGTAACGGCCGTTCCCTGACGACTCTGCCGAGAAACACAACACTGTCTTTCGTTTCTCAAGTACACCTGAACTCTCCGTATCATAGCCGGGTATTTTTTTTATTTTAATGAAGCTATAATTAAATTAAAAATATATCGTATTTAAACATTTTTATATTTTATTAAGATTTAGGACAGGTTTTTTAAATAAAAGTTTAGAAAAAACAATTTAGAGTCCAAAAAGGATAAAAATAATAAAATACACGTTATAGAAGAAATTTTATAATTGAAATTAGGTAATTTTTGAAATTAATAATAAATTATTAATTTTAGTCAAACATTTACAACCCCTAATATTAATCAAATCGGCGGATATAATAGAATCGGCGATAAGAAAAAAAAATATGATTGTTGTAATTTTTTTTCTGGTTAAGTGATGTCTTATTATGTAAATTAGAGAAAACATAAATCTGTTCCATTAAAGCAAGGAAGGTGATAGGAAGTGGATAAAATAAAAACTACATTTATTTAACTCGGTACTGTCTTTATTATACCGGGTGCGTCTCAAAAGTGGCTCATACCCCATAATTTTTTTATATTTTCAAATAAAAAAACAAGATTTAGTATGTTAGTATATGAAATAAATTTTGATTGATTGACGCATTCAATTGTTTTTGGTCACTTCCTGTTTCACCGGAAATGACTATAACTTTTAATTTTTAAACGGCACCCTCGGTATATTTCTACTTTATTCGATAGAAAATGACACTCTGAATAGAATGACATATCACATGTCAACTTTTGACATTCTCGCATATGGTTTAATTGTAATTGTAACACGCGGTTCATAACGACAATTTGACTCGAAATACCAAGTGTGTGGTATCAATATATTCATAAAAAAATGCTTTTTCCAAATATGCTAATGAGTCACCCTTGTTCCATTTGAAAAAATGGACATATGTATGATTAAAAATACGATTTGTACATCTTTTAACCGGCCTAGACAAGACACGAAACCTCCTTGATTAAAACAGCTCCAGCTCCTTGATTAAAACTTAGTGGATTGAAAAAAACTGGATTGAAATTTAAAATAGGATATGTTTTTAAGCGACAATGTCAAAAGGTGGCATATGATATGTCATTCTATTCAGAGTGTCATTTTTTATCGAATAAAGTAGCAATATACCGAGGGTGCCTTTAAAAATCAAAAGATGTAATCATTTCGGTGAAACAGGAAGAGACCAAAACAATTGAATACGTCAATAAATCCTAATTTATGTCATATACCTACTAACATACAAATCTGTTTTTTATCTGAAAAAATAAAAAGTTATAGGGTTGAGCCACTTTTGAGACGACCCGGTATATTAAAAAATATTGTTTCATAATGTAATATCATTTTAAAATTCTTGTATGTTATTTTAGATTCTGAAGATAATTTTAGAATAAACCGGAATATATTTTTAATAAAAACATTATTTATTATTAACAGGGTTATAATTATGATTTTGTTACAATGTAAGTAAGTAAATAATGTAATGTAAGAGAAAAAAATCAGATTTTACATTTTACTAAAATATTATCTAAATAAGCGCCTTTCTACAACAACGCCACTGACTCCCAATGGGTAAATTGAGAGTTGCCTACCGGTCAAAAGTCGTTTCAAGACTTAAATGGATTATTAAAGTCAAATTTCTTGCAAATTTGGCACTGGCGAACCATATTTTATAGTTTTTGAACAGAAAAAGTCAATAAAATAAACAATTAAGGACTACAAGCTAAGAAAATGCGTTAATACAGCCGCGGAGATAGCGGCAACAAAGCTTTACCGCACACGTGCGACACGTACTACAAGGTAATAAATGAATGAATAGGCTCCCTCGCCTCTAATCGGTGTTGTCATATTGTAAAGAACTTATCCTTATTAAACAGTATCCGACTTATAATTTAGTAGAATAAGGACTATTTAATACATCTATGGAATATTAAAACCTACTTATTAAACTGTAGTATTAATATCTCAATATATGTGTATAACAAGAAAAAAAATATTGATAATATTAAAGACGTGACAACATAGGCTGGATGAGGAAGGCTCGGTCGACTGTACCCAGAAGTAAACATGTGTACAAAAAAGGTTGTTTGTCCGCGTTGAGATGTAAATAGTGTAGTCTATATTTTATTTTAAGTCTATGGCTCAAACGCAGTGACGACCCGGTAACAGCGACCATCATTTGATTTAATGGTATTCCATTAAAAAAAAATAATCCCAATCCACTCAAACTTTTTTGAGTCACACTGTAGAATTTTCCTGAAATACATCCTAGTTGCACTTAAAGAAAATTTGCAAGTTTTTTTTATTCTACATACAGTGTGTCCACGGATTGACTCCCAAAGAGGGAAAACTTTTTTATTCGTGGGTTTATGAAAAAAAGTTATTCTTCATAAAAACTCCTGCTTGAGCTTAAACGACCAACAGGCATATTATTTTTACAAATGTATATACCGAGTGTTAAAAATTTTAAAAAATATGGAAAACACATTGTAAACAAACTTATGCCTAAAAAAACACTAAAAAGGCATTTAGACATTCATCTACATTTTACAGAAAGAGGTCGAGGCTTTTGCAAAATAATAATAGTAGTAGTGATGTCTTGCCTCCACCCATAAATGATTTTTATCCGGAAGAGATGCTGCATTACACTGGTGCATCTTAATTTCATTTTTTAGCTTAGGAAACCAGCAGACCCCATCCTCCTCCCACATGTGAGGTTAGATTTAAAAAAGTGGCTGCCCATTTTTTTAAGGAGAAAACAAAAACTAAAATATAGTTTCACAAATCCACAAATCACTGATACGCAAAGTGAGGTTACGTGGCGTACGTTGGAATTATATACGTCATAATACAATTGCCGGTCGTCCGGTTGACTTCGGTCGTGTGAGACGACTAATGTTGGAGACCCGGTCGGAATTGGTATATTGGTAGTTCATATTAAGTCGGACAGAGAAATCCGCCATTCTTAACACGTATCCGATTGTCAGCCATTTTAAAATCGTTTTTTGTTTTTAAAATTTATATTCACATTTCGATTTCTAGTAGAATAATATTGATAAGGTTGAGTTTGGGGGGAACCACAGTACAGTTTTATGATTAAACCAGCTAGAAAATTAAAAAAATATTTTGCGAGTAACTTTTTTATAGATATTTTTATTTCATAAATCTACCTAATTTTGAAGGCGCTCGTTGTTTTCCGGAGTATTTTAATCAAATATATCAAAAAAGTGACTTCCGTTGACAAAACTGATGTCTGGATTAATGATTCAGAATTATTATAATATGAAATTAGATAGGCACTTATAGTTATATTCGAGGAGTGATTATGAATCCATTTGTAATTATTTAATTTGGTTAGATTTTTATGTATTCTTGGTAGCGAATATGAAACCAAACGTAACGTAAGTGCTTAGCGACGAATTATAAGTAACTAAAATCCAACGTAATATGACGTTGGTAATTGGTAGAATTAGATTCCCTATTAGGTCAGATACCGACGTCAAGGCGACCCGAATCTGTATTCGCCATTTAGGTGCAAATAAGGGTCGTCAGGCGGTCGAACCGACGTTGGTACCCGACGTCGGGTTTATTGAACGCGACGTATACCCGACGTTAGTTAACGTCCAAATGCTACTTGGCTATTATTTTAAATTTTTCCAAACTGTTATTAAGAAGAAGGTGGATGTTGATTAAACCATATACCGTATGATCGAAAAAAATGGCGTCCAGTTGGCTGGGAAATGACGATCGATGACATTTCCCATATAAATTTTCATATAAAATGACAGAGATCTTCACTTCATAGCCATCGCTGACGCCGTTTTTTTCTTCGATCATATATGGTATTTTACTCATGCAAATTTCAAATTTATATAATAAAGCCCCATACTCATTATGCGTTAATTCGTTTGGAAATTCATCCATTGTATGTTATTTTCTTTTGATGGTTCGCCCAAAGGACTGAAATCGACGCATTGACGAACAGCCTCGACGAACCTCATCAGCGCATAGTTAGTATGGGACTTTACCGACTATAAAATAAATAAATAAAATAAATAACGCTTTATCTTTAAAAAATTAAGTCATTAAAATTACAAATAGAACATACATGGACAATTGCAGAACACAAAAAAAAGTACAAAAAAATTGTAAATGAATATAATTTTAAGAGTTATAAAATATTAAATACTCGACTTTTGACCAGTGTGTGAGATGATCAAAATTTTGATCAAAATCATATTAAAATCACATTAAAAAATTAACAAAATCATATTTATTTTTAAATTTTACAGTAAATTTAATTATCTACTCCACAACATTGATTGAAATTGAAAATTAAATTTTAATAATATGTTTAAAGATGATCATTACGATGCATAATCACACTTTGTAGTTGGATATAATTGTTTTTACAACTTTATGTTTACGTTCCTCTTCGAATTTAAATCTGATTGTTTTATTATTAACTAAATTATTGTATTAAAATCCGATATGGCGCGGAAAAATTCGGTTGTTACAATATAATTTACAAAGGTTTCTTTCAAACAATGATATGACATGTCATATATTTTTTATTGTATGCGTCTCCTCTAAAATTATTTAAACAATCCGTAAAATAAAATATCAAACAAAGTTAATCCGATCTATGAAAAGATGAAAACCGAGCATTTCGTAACCGCGATCAAAAATTTATTTAAATAGTTATCACTTTTCTAGTTTGTTATTTTAATTTTGCGATTTGGTGACTACGAATTCGAAAATGTTTAGTTTATTAAATCAACTACCTGTTCAGTTTTACGATTTCATTTACAGTCCTATAAGATTATCTTGACAAATAGATGTCGTTATGCTCTACTCGCATATCTACCTATTAAATTAGATATATGTTTTTCTGTGTTTGTCAAATAATATAATTTTGTAGTATTTGTGAAGCGTGCATACGATGACATTGTCCAGCTGTAATAACGGATTGGATATCGATTCAAGGTCTGTTATATTTTATTCACTTATTTTATAAACCGAAAAAAAATTATGTATTAACTTTATTAACATAATTCATTATGTACCTACATATACATATTATAGGATCTAATTAGTTAAACAACCTTATTGCTTAATATCACAGAATTTACAACACCGTACTATAGGTACAGTATTATTTTAACAAATGACTAGAATTTGGAATATTATTTTTTTAAATCACAATTAAAATAAATCTTATAATATAGTTAAATCATATATTATAATAAAATTTTACAGCATTAATTATAAATATCAGGCATGAAATATCACTAATATTAATATATTTCAGTTATTTTAGGTGTCAATATTTTTTGTAGTCATGGTAATTACCATTTTAAAAAAGTAGCAATTTATTGTGGTAAGAAAAATTTATTATTCGACGAATTGCTTTTAAAATTATTTATCGGTATGTATTTTTTAAAATGATTTTGCTTTAGACAGGTTTTTAGACATACATATATATAATTACACAACTTGGGTATTCGTTTATAGTAGTATCTGCAAGAACGTCCAACTTACTGGACAAGAGTAATTTTTTTTCTAATAATCTGAATTAAGTTTTAAAACAGATTGGAAAAGCCGCATTTAAAATTAAAATTAAAGGTCGTAAAATATGATTGTTTACTATCAGTGCCTCCGCTAAGTCGATCAGCAACTTCCTTGTGTCTTCGTTATGGATAAAGCATGAATTTGAATTTTTAGTGATAAGTACATACTATGCTGGCTATATTGCTAATACACCTAATAATCGCTGGCATCTACATAACGCTGGCTATATTGCCAATACACCTAATAATTTTACCATATACATATATAACGTATTATATCTAGTCAATTTCTTTAATTTTATCACTAACACACACTGATCATCGAAATTCATAGGTAGGTACATATTACAGTTGGGAGTTGGAACATTTGGTGTTACAACAGAAAAATTAAACACTAATTCACCACAATACTCCAAAAAAGTCTTGTATTTTAGTGTATCTGCTGATGGTGCTAACATGATCAGCATCAGGTAGCATCATCAGCAGCAGCGAAACGAGCGTCCAGTGCAAAAGTAGTGTTGTATTGTGGTGAATTAGTGTTTTATTTTGAAGCCTCACAAAAGAGAATAGTAGAATTTTGAATTTTCATTAGAATTTGACCCATAATTAGTTAAGAAATTTCCAAATTTCAATATTAATTAAATGAAAAATGAGGCACTTTTTTCACTATACAAGGTAGAGAACTTCATGTAAAACCAAGTCACTTCTTTTAGTTTCCAGGAACACGTCTATGAGTTTTCTTTTGCAAAAAAATGTTGAAATCGAGCATATTCTTTTATATTTCTCTGGGTATTTAAATTGATATAAATTTTCCCAAAGTATAATTTCTTAATCTCTGATATTATATTGTTACTGCTTTACTCTATGGTTACGGCATTAAAAGGGATGCAAATACAGAAAAAATCCGGTGGCTCTCAAAATGACTTAAAAATAAATCAATTTTATGAAAAAGGGTAAAGAGAAAAAAATATATTTCTTTTATCGAAATCTACCAGCTCTGAAAATATTTGCACAGTTTTTGGTTTTGGACAGTTCTCCTCGTCTTCCTTTTGTTCAGGAAATGCGTGATGGTGGCGGCGGCGGCGGCGGCGCGTGGTTTATGCATTTATGCTAATATTCGGCTACTTCGGCAAGTAATTAACCGTGTAAAGACTGTAAAGTTATTGTTTTGGTTTTCTGATTTTAATTGGCTATGTAGTAGAAGGATAGTACGTAGTATTGTTTTACAAAAATTATTTTGTTGGTCGTGTTTACAATATTCTAATAAACATGGCATTTGGAATAAAGAAGGGTCGCTTTCACTGATTTCGTTAATATAACAAGATCTTTGCATAAACACGGGGATTCTGCAGAACATTTAAAATATTTTAAAAAATGTTGACAAAATGGTGAATGCGCTAAAAAAATTTGGCGCAATTTGAAAAAATTAACTCTTCACCTAATTTTTTACCCACGAGCCGCCACTGGGTCCATGTTAGGAGTTACACTTTCTTATACCCAATCATACCATACGAAATCGAACAGGAGTAAGAGAGAGAATCTGTCTTATATCTTAAATGGAATTGGGCAGGATATGTGGCTAGGATAACAGATGGACGGTGGACAAAGAGACTTGTGGAATGGAGACAAGGCTACGAGGACACGAGGCCTATAGAAGCAGAGGACGACCTCCTAGTCGATCGACAGATAATATTAAGAGAGTGGCTGTAAACTGGATTCAAGTGGCACAAAATGGACAGAAATGGCTAGAGTTAATAAAAGCTTTTGTTCAACAGTGGACGGAATAAACTAAATGATGATGAAAGTAATGTACAACGAACTAGTAAACAGAAAAGACATTTTAATAAATAACATAATACTGGAAATAATAGAAGAATATATATATTTGGGATAACTAATACACAGCTCATGATCTCTACTACCATAAATCGATAGCAGAATTAAGTTAGCAAGGAGTACTTATGGAAGAAACTCGAACATATTCAAATCTAGAATTGTTACTTTAGCTAAAGTAGAAAACTTTCGACCAATGTGTACTACCAGTCATGATTTATGCATGCGAAACGTGGACACTTAAAGGGACATTATAAGGAAACTGCAGGTCTCACACCGCTCAGTGGAACGAAATATGCTGGGAATAACTAAGAAAGACCGTACAAAAATAGAGTAAATACGACAAAAGACCAAGGTAATAGAGATCCACAGAATCAAATCCATCAAGTGGCAATAGGTAGGATACTTGGCAAGAAGGACCGAAAACAGATGGACCAGAAAAAATACAGCAAGGTACCCAGGAAGAATTAAGAGACCTAGAAGAAGACCAAACCTGAGATGGGACCATGCTATTAGGAAATTCGCAGGGATAACTTGGGCCCACATAGCCAACAGTAGGCAACAATGGGCCCAACTACAAAGAGAGTATGTTAGGGGAGACTACACCATAATTGGAAATGGTTGAATAAGCTGAAAATGATGATAACAATGATGACATGATTTTCACAACTTATTGTAGTGGAAGAACTGCTAACTGCGACTATTTTTATACATTTTATATTTCTGATTAGATATAATTTACACTAGCATATTCTGCTAGATTGAATCTGTTTCATACATAATTTACATAGCTTTAAATAAACAAAATACATATTAAAAAATCTTATCAATTCACATTGCCATTAATATGCAATATAATATAATAACTGCAAATATTTGACTTGCAAAATATTTGCGCAAAATTAGTATTAACTTAAATAACAGAATAAACATTATAAAGGCAACTATACATTAAAAAAATATTAAAGGATTCAATAAAAATTACATTTCTCAAGATAAACCTCTTGAGATGTCAATCATACGTCAATCATATTTCCTTTGTTAGGGAATTGTGTATAGGAGTAAAAAAAACAAAATATTTTTATGTGTCCGGAAATTCTAAATTCAATGTTTTATTCTACATAAAATAAATCATTTTATGAATATCCTCTAATGAGTTAACTCTCTGTGTTGTTGTTAAACACAGTACCCTCACAATCATAGAGTACAATCTAGAATCTGTTTCTCTTTCATTCTTCTAATTATATTTTCAGAGTGAAGAAGCAGGAAAATCTGTCATGGTGGGAGATGTGGAAAACACGAAGATATTTCGTGGCTATTATGGGATTCTGTGGTTTCTTCAACGTGTATATTTTAAGAGTAAATTTAAGTATAGCAGTTGTAGCAATGACCGCAGATAGGTATATTATAGCGGAAAATGGTACATCTATAAACATTGTAAGTTTTAGAGATTTGGTATCAAATATCATAATTAATTTAGGTTTTAACTTATTATGATCTTTATCTAGATAATCAATTATTCAAGTATATTATTTCTATTTATAGTAACCCAATTTTTAAAACAACTTAAAAATATGAATACGGTACTACATTTTAATTTAGATAATATCACCACACATAGTGAGATAATATCACCACATATCATACATTGGATAGTATCACTATAAAATATACCGCACGGTTATCTAAATATGTAATTATAAAATTTCGTTTACCAGTTTCAAAACAATAATATTGGAGATATTTTCTGTTAATATAAGAAAAATATTATAATAAATGTATAAAATAAAATTTAGTGAGATATTGGTCCTTTACCACCAAGTAAAGTAACATCCATACTTATACTCAATAATGTAAATCCTTTTTCTATATGAATATGCTTTTTTTTTGCTATTTTTTTCAAAAACTAGTATGATAATTTCTGTATATCTTGAATATATCTCAGATAACTAACCAAGGAGATATACAGGGTGTCCAAGGCTGAGCGTGCATTAGAAATTTCTAGAGAACTTTAAAACACCCTGTGTAATAATTTCGTGAGCAAATTTTCTTAAAACATTATTTTGTTTTTTGGCGCATGTCAATACACGCCTTGGTTAATTTTTAAGAACGAAACAAAGTTGCCATCAACAATTTGCAATGTTTTTAATTGTCATTACTTGTTGATGTTATTTTCCAATATGAAGACATAGCTTTTGTAACTATTGTCGTAATGTCATATTGACAATTTCTTCTTGTATACCTCCTTTTGAATATGGTTTTGAGTATCGAAGATTGTGCAAAGGCCGTTGTTCTTGTTGAAGATGGGCGAAATTATGAATATGTGGCTAGAGTGCTACACACTAATCGCTCTACGATAAAAAGGGTCGTGGAACGTTTTAGACGAACTGGCAGAAATAAGCGTAAAGCGGGTAGTGGTAGAAAGCGAAAAACTACCGCTCTTGACGATAGATATCTGAGAATAAACGCTTTGCGGGACCGTCACAGAACTGCAGGACAAACCAGAAATAGGCTCCAGGAAGTTCGAGGAAAAAATGTAAGTGTATTTACAGTTTGTCAAAGATTATACGAAGGTGGTTTACACAGTTGCAGACTCGCAACTGGGCCTAAATTGCTTCCCCGTCACCGAGTGGCTAGACTGCAGTTTGTCAGAGAACATTTACATTGGAATTTGGGACACTGGAGCAATATTCTTTTTACAGATGAGTCGAGGTACTGCTTGAACTCATCAGATGGGACAGAACGAGAGTGGCGACGAACTGGAGAGAGGTTTTCGGAGTGCACTTTCAGCCCACGCCTTAGCCATTGAGAAGGTTCGGTGATGGTGTGGGCTGGAATATCACGAGAGGCTCACACTGAATTGGTGTTTATTGATGGTACGTTGACTGCACATCGATATATTGATGAGGTATTAGCAAATCACGTAGTACCCTTTTCTCAATATATCGGGAATAATTTTAAACGTATGCAAGATAATGCGCGGCCGCATTCTGCGATGTGTGTCACTCAATACCTTGAAGAAGTTGGTATAAATAAAATTAGCTGGCCAGCGTGTTCACCAGATTTGAGCCCTATAGAACCCGTTTGGGACTTGTTTGGCAGGAGGGTTAGAAGTCGCGAAGTAGCACCAGCTTCAATTAATGAACTGCGCTTGGTTCTTGAAGCAGAATGGCAAAACATAACGCAAAATGAGATTTGCATCCTTATTGACAGCATGGACCGACGTCTACAGACCGTTATAACAGACAGGGGAGGAAATATAAAGTATTAGTTTTTTTAGAGTTTTTTCCCTGATTTTATACTTAGTTATTACTGTTATGTTTTTTTTAATCGTTAGTTCTGTTATTGTTAAAATGTTTATTAAAACCAAAATTGTTTCGTTATTCTTTAACGTTTTTTTAATTTTCAATGTCGAGTTCTAATATGACATTACGAAAATAGTTACCAAAGCTACCTCGTTATATAAAAAAGCATCAAAGAGTAATGATAATCGCAAAAAATTGCTGAATGCCATATCTACGAGAATGTCATATCTTATAGGGTCCGGAATACAACTGGAGCAATCAACTTCAAGGGTACATTCTCAGCTCTTTTTTCTATGGATACATTGCCACACAATTTGCTGGAGGATATTTTGCTGTTAAATTTGGCGGAAAAGCTCTATTTGGTCTAGGCATAGCCGTTACATCTTTACTTACCATTGTCACACCATTCTTAATCTATACAAATGTGTACCTCTTGATAACCGTAAGAGTCATAGAAGGGCTATTTGAGGTAACAGTAAAATAACTTTTCATATACCGATTTCCTGCAAAACAAAACACTAATTTACCACCTTACACCCCAAACTCATGTTTTCATTATCTGCTGATGGTGCTAACATGGTTAACGAAAATGCGAAGTGTAAAAAGCATGCGTGTGCGAAAGTGTTTAGGTGTATTGTTATGAATAAGTGTTTTATTTTGCTGTTGCAACAGCAAAGGTTCCAACCCTTAACTGTAATACTGATTTCCTCTTTTATATAGGGAGTAACTTATCCTTGCATGCATGCGGTTTGGTCTAAATGGGCACCACCTTTAGAACGTTCCAGATTAGCTACTTTCACTTTTTCTGGATGTTTTGTTGGAACGGTTGTCGCCATGCCGTCATGTGCTTATTTGGCTGATGCTTTAGGATGGGAGAGTGTTTTTTATATTTGTGGTAAGTGTTATTCTACATAACAAATAGTGTTCATATCTGTTAAAAATAATCGCGGGATTTCAAATATTATAATAATTAGTTAGAGACTACATGCAACTCTTTTACAAAGGGGAAGTTTATTAACTACGTAAAGGATTAATATAATATAATTATACGGGAAACCTGGGAGCAGCAACACCGGCGCGACGCGACGCCGGCATATGAATACATTGAACAGGTTGCAACATATACATCTTAGACAACTGTTAAGAATCAAATGGTACCACCATGACTCAAACGTATCAGTCCTTAAAAAAGCAAGCTGCGAGAGCGCTGAAGTCATTATTCCTAAATTCCGCTTAACATGGGCTGGTCATGTATGCAGGATGCAAGGAAACCGCCTACCGAAATCTCTGCTTTACAGTGAACTTGTAGACGGTAAGAGGAAAGCGGGTGGACAACTCAAAAGGTAAAAGGATATTTTACACGAAAACTTAAAGTGGCTAAGTATGCGGAATAAGTGGGAGGAAGCATCGCACAATGAATGCAATGGAGAAGAACTCTAAACGCTGAACGCAACGGAGAAGAACTCTAAACTCACTTAACAACGACAACCAAAAAGTAAATAGGGAACAAAGTAATGAGATTTTTGAATGTCTGGAGTACAGAATAAGAGAGTCAGTCACGAATCAGTCACAGAAATTCAATCAATTTCAGTCACAGAAAAAACTCATGAAAGAAAACGCCTTGCCTGACAAAAAAAATGTGAAAAAATCATATTAATTTAAAGTCAATTTAATTCAAAGTAATCTGACACAATTCTTCTATATATTAAAATCCACGAATAGATTAAAGTTATTTAGTATTGATTTGTCGAAAATTCCCCGATTCTTTATTTGTTTAAAAATTAGGCGCGTAGTTTTAATTTCACAAGACGTACTACTGAATCTCTGTGCGCAAGTATATAACTGCTTAAGAGACGCTCAGATCTAGTGAGATAGTTACCCTAGCTATATTAACTGCTTCTAATTATCTTTGAAATAGACAGTTCTCTTTTTTAATTTTTATTAATCTCCTTTGATTAACGTTTGATTATTTTGTTGAACAAGTGCATGTCCCATGCAACCATTTATATTGTAGTTCAACAAAGAGACCCACCTATTGACTTCCACTAGAGACCTGTTTATTATCGGTCCTTAGTAGGAGACCTATTCAACAGGAAACATGAAAACATCTGTTTGTCATTTTAGGTGCTTCTGGTTTACTATGGTATGCCACATGGTTTTTCTTCGTTTCCGGAACACCTCAAGAAGATCCAAAAATAAGCCAAGAAGAACTGACGTATATCGAGAATTCTTTTAAGGAAGCTTCCTCAAAACAAACATACACTAAAGTTGTCCCCTGGAAAGAAATATTTACATCGTTTCCAGTATGGGCTTGTATAATTTCTCATTTTGGTGAAAACTGGGGATTTTACACGTTGCTCACGCAATTACCGAAATATCTCAAAGGTTAGTATGTGATTTGCTCAGATGTTAATATTTGTTTATAATATATGTAGTATTATTTCCAAAAACTTGCCGAGATTCTTAGAATACACTTCTGTGGGAAACCTGCACATTATCACCCAGTTATAACTAAAATCAAACTGCGCGGATGGTGGAACATCTGGTGAAATTGAGATTTGGAAATGCGTTAGCCAGGGGTGTGTATTATTCCTACTCCTTTTCAAAGTGTTATTCAGGCCCTAGACACTCAATAGCTATTTTATAGAATTATAAATTTAGTTTCTTCCGCATCGCCAGACGGCGCCAAAGACATTAAAATACCGGTTTCTAATTTATATATTATGAAGATGACATGACAGCCTAGGTCTAGTTTTGGCCTAATTGACAGAATGTTGGTGATCCGCCAAGCTATTTTTAAATTATTACTTAAATAATTATTAATTCAGATATTTCTGATTTGTCGGAAAAGTTCGTTGATTTGTGTTTTTATTAGTTTATGCATTTTGCTATTTTTATAGCCGATCATAATTTTCGTGTTAGAATGGCTCAAGTCATATCTTGGCAACAGAAGGCAGCTTGTGAGGATTAATAAGTATATGTCTTCTTGTAAGCCTATATAATGTGGTGTCCCTCAGGGTTCAGTACTTTTTGTTCAGTTACCTATTTTGTTTCTGGTGTTTATCAACGACATTGCAAGCGGTTAAATCTGTCTCTTCGCGGACGATACTAGTTTCACTTGGAGCGGCCCATATATTGCGGCACTATATGATACTATATCCAGTGACTTACGCACCATTAAATCTTGGAGCGATTCTAATCTTCTATGCCTCAACCTATCAAAAACTAAAGTTTTGTCATATAAAAGTACTATACAACCTTTTGTACTTAATAACACCACTATTGACGTCGTAGCCTCTTTGAAATTCTGAGGACTTGTTGTAGACAACTCGTTAAAATGGGACTTTCATATCGAAGCTCTATCAAAGAAACTAAGCGCTGCCTGTTTTGCGCTAAGATCAGTTTCTAAGGAGTTTAACTTATCAACGTCTATAATAGCCTATTATGCCCTTTTTGAGTCACATCTTCGTTATGCCCTTCCATTCTGGGGTACTTGCTGCGCAACAAAATTTGATCGTATTTTCAAACTTCAAAAGAGAGCAGTTCGATATTTATTGGGAGTGAACAGTAGAACTCACTGCCAAAATTTCTTTAAAAATTTGAAAATACTGACTCTTCCTTCTTTATTCATTTTTGAATCCATTTGCTTAATCCGCAAGCACATATCTGCTATTCCCGAAAGGCCATCTCATAACTATCCATCGATCTTTATCTGCCAACCCCGAGTTCAGAACTAGTTAAAGGTTCAATACTGTACAATGCCAAAAAAATTTACAATCATCTGCCTTTGAATATCAAGTCGCTTTTCTTCTTTCCCGCATTTCGCAAAGCTCTAAAATCATACTTACTGGAGAGAGCCCTATATGCGGTAAACGACTTTTTTGTTGATGCTTAATTATGAACAATTTTGAATTTTAAAATTTTGATCATCTCACACACTGGTCAAAGGTCAAGTATTTAATATTTTATAACATAATTATTTATAAAATAATTTTTTTAAATTTTTTTGAATTGTATTATTTGTATTGTGTATTTTTTGTTGTTTGTATTTTTTTGTGATTTTGTTGATTTGTGAGTGCTTTGTCGATGAAGCTGTTTTGGCTTTTTGTACAATAAAGCGTTGTTTGTTTTTGTTTTGTTTGTTTGATATCAAAAGAAAAAATGTTAGTGGCGCACATGTTTTTTTTTGAGAAATATTCCAGTGATAACCCATATGCACGTCCCTGATTAATTTATCGAAACTTTTTTAGCATTAAATGTAGTACTTATAGTAACTTTTACCCTCAAAATTTTATTCGAATCTCTAAAAGTTCTTGGAAGAAAATTATAATAAATCGAAAGATTATTATGACTTTAACATCCTGTAGCTACGAAATAAAGCCGAATCGGACCTATATGTTGATATGAAAAATAAATCTTATTTCTACGCAAGAAATCTCTCTTTGGTGTAATTCCCTGGCCACGACACTCCAGCCACGGGTAAGAAGGGATTCTCCCTGGCACCTAACTAGAGCTTCCCCATAAACGACAATAAATTATTAATATTTTTTTTTTCTTGGACTAGAAATTTTCTCACCTAGTACAGATATTTTTATAGTTAAATAGGTTTTTCAATTTTTATTTACAGATATCTACAGCTACGATTTAGGTCAATCCGGTTTTCTATCTGCTCTACCATACTTAGTGATGGCCATTATAATTCAGTTTTCTGGACAATGGGCAGATTGGTTTCTTGTCAAAGGTATTTTGAGTACCACGCAGGTTAGGAAAATATTTAACTGTTCCGGATTTATTGCCCAAACTATATTTATGTTAACTTCCGCTTTTTGGTCGGACAGAATTGGATCTGTATTTTGCCTCACCATGGCTGTTGGATTAGGAGCGTTTGCGTGGGCTGGGTTCAGGTAAGTCAAGTAAAATGACATAAAAAAATTAGTGATGGGATAACTCGAGCGAAAATTCGAGGGGCGACGAACGCAAGCGATACTAGAATGAAATAAATTCAAATCCGATTTTAATGTGACATACTCGATAAAAAGCCGAGCGAATTTTCTATATACATTGCAGGTAGCAAATTTATACGACGCCGTATGTGTATTTATCCGTTGCGTATCTGAGGGACAAAATTTTACGACCTACATCAACAATGCTTTGAAATAAACTAATACTAAATCAAGCGATCAAGCGAATCGCTCGCCGCTTGCTACTTGCCATTCTTCACTGCGCACGCAACTTACTACTTGGCACTTGGCGTTAACGAGTACTTACAACAAGCGACGGGTGAAAAGCCATATTTTTAAATACGAGTGATATTTCGTTCGAGCGATCACTCGGTTATTGCAATCGCTTGAAACTCGAGTACTCGATTATTGAAATTAATCGGGTTTTCCCATCACTAAAAAAAAATAGCTTTAAAATGTTTAAATCTTAATGAAAGTCGGAGATTTCACAAACGGAATGCACTTTCTGTATGTTAATTACCTAAAATTGAGTTATACGTTGATTGAAAGAATTAAGAAGATACGCTATGTGCGAATTCGTGACAAAAAAGGCCTATATGATTTCTCCTTACGTCTCAAGTGCTGTACGGTGGAGACACAAATCGCTGGAGATCCACAAATTGAATTTATACAGATTAAAATCATCCAACAAAAACTATATTTAACCTAGCATCACAGATAACACATGTGTTATCTGTGCTAGCATATTCTACTACCTTAAAGGAAATCGTAATTTTTAGTGTAAATCATCTGGATTTGGCACCACAATTTGCAAGTGTTTTGATGGGCATAGGAAATACATTTGCTACTATTCCTGGAATTGTTAGTCCTATTATTGCAGGATATATTGTTCAAATTCCACCAGTAAGTATCAACTTATTTTTTTTGAGTAGAAAATTACCGTAGTAATTTGATTTATAGCTTAAGTTTGCATATAGAGAATATTTATTAGATATTGTCTGAAATACACACAACCAAATTTATATTGAATCACTCTTTATTTCTGACTAAATTTCTTGCAGGGATAAAAATTGGTATACCACCTTAAGATAACGCTTTTTGTTGTAAATAAACATAATAATAAAGAAGAGACGACTGCTGCGATTTATTTTCTTTTGAATTTTGTGTTCAGTAGTAAAATCACGATTGTCCGGTAGATTGTCCGGTAATTTTCGTTCGATCCAAAAAAATAAAAAAATGCCTTATGTTGGATTAAAAGATGTACAGAGGGAAGAATTATTGCTCTCGCCGAACAAGGAATGCTCCAAAGAGACGTAGCAGAGATAGTAGGCGCTACCAGGGTGATGTAGCTATCGATTATACAACTCTATGTATATTTTTCCTATATAGAAGGATGTGATTAATATTATCGCTTGGTGATAATCACTTGGTGGCCATATTGTAATTGTCATTTTTTGAAATATTAATTCAGAAGTAATTTCTGTCAGTTCTACAAAATATCCCGTCAATTCTTATTACAAAATGGCAGTTATTATAATAAAAATGTTTATGATAAGAACGATATAGGTCTGTATTTTATTTCGTTGTATAATCTTTTGAATACAACTCAATGTTTCCGGATTACCTAATACTTTTACCTGACACTCAATGCGATACCGGCAACACTACTCCTCCTTCAGAGTCGCAGTGTTGCCATGTAACGCATTTTGTGTTAGGTAAAAATATTATTCGGTAATCCCGAAACATCTTGTGATATTACATTCGAAAACACATGCAAGATACTTGGAATTAGGAACACACAAGGATAGGCCCAGACAAAGTCGTCAAAAAGTTACAACTGAACAACAAGACCGCCTTGTTGGCCAAATTGCTAGAATAAATCCCAATGTTTCTCATCCAGAGCTACAAAGACAACTTCTGGCAGCAACAGGTGTTAACGTTTCAGTTGAAACCATAACAAAAAGGCTTCGTGCTCGAGGATTTTACAGTAGGAGAGAGTTACGGATCCCACAGTTATGTCGGCAATATAAAATTGACCGGCTAAATTGATGCATTCAACATCAAAACTGGCCAACTGAGAATTGCCAAAATGTTCTTTTTTTTACGCATTCTCTTTTTTTCTGATGAGGCCTAAGATCAGATAACCATTGAATTCGGGTTCTCAGAGCTCCAGAAGGACGAGCGCGACTTCAGGCTGCCAAATCTGTACCAAGATATAAAGGAGGAACTACAATGTTCTGAGGAGGTATTATACTGGGGGCAAAAACTCCATTGTTACCACTTCAACAAACTTTAACGGGTCGGAGATATGTTGACTTGGTCCTAGACCCAGTCGATAGTCTTTGGAGAGCTATTGGTTATAATTTTAACTTCTTGTACGATAATGCACCTCCCCATACCAGCAGAATGACTAGAGAATGTCTTGAAACGGAAGGGGTTATAGTTTTGGACTGGCCTGCATATTCACCAGATCTAAACCCTATCGAACACTTGTGGGACTAGCTCAAAAGAGGGGTTAGAGCTCGTCGAAACAATCCAGGAAATCTTGCACAGCTTATTGATGCAGCATTAGCAGAATGGGAAAACATACCCCAAGACAACGTTGATAATTTAATAAGAAGCATGTCAGCGCGAATAGAAGCTTGCATAACGGCTAAATGTGGCAACAACAAGGAAAATTATCAATTTTCTTTTTGTTTTTGCTTTTTGGCCATTAAAAATTTAAAGCTTAATTTCTTTCAGAAACCAAAAAAATACCATTTTGTTTATTTTGGGAACTGATTAGTTTTTTTTATTGCTATATGGATTATTTTTTATTAAAAGTCATTGGTAAGGACTGAGCTTTATTCAAAAACACAAAATTTTCATACGTCTCAAAAATTATAAAAAATAATAGATGATTTTCCATATAATATTCCATAAGTTTGGTTGTGTGTACATACTGGTAAAAAATATTATTATATGGAAGAATTTATATTTCTTGTTGATATAGTCTGTGAAACGAATAACTTTGAATTTGACAGTTCCCACGGGCTTTTCTAGTGTTAATTTTATTAGGTTAGCAACTTGCGACCATGCTGACGCAATGCCGTCTCTAATAGAACAGCCTCGGAGCGAGATTTATGACGTCACGCTAACATAATTATTCCTTATATTTGACTATGGCTGAAATCGTACTCCATAGTCAATGTAGATAGTTTTAGTGTTAAGAATAATAATTTTAAAAAATATGTGGTCATCTTTTGACAAGTTTATATTAGTTTATTAATTGCAGTAAACATTATGTGGTTTGGCTTGGTGTGAATATTTTATATGCAATTTTTGGATTATATTCGACACTATATTTTTATATGACACAACACTGATGAAGGCTATAATGTTAGCCGAAAAGTTTTTTTAAACCAAAAAAATAATGAAAAACCTAATAAAAACTTAATCAGCGTTTTTCGCGAACCTAAATCCCAAGAAAATCAAAATTTTAGAATAATTTTACATTATAAATGACAGCGATCTTTATTTCATACGCATTTTTTTTCTATGATATTGTATTATTTGCAAATATAATTTTTAATGATACTTGCAAAATATATGTACATATAAATTTTGTGAATGCAAATAATAATACATCACTATTAGTATATATTGAATGTTTTTTGTTAAATTAGATCGATTTTCAAGCCCCAAAATTTAAAATATATTTTACATTTTACATTATCTTATGTACCTATTCATTATATGTATATTGTAAAACATTTGCTGCATTTGTATGGTTCATAGTTTATTTGCCAAAGTATTTATTACTATAAATAGGTATATATTATATTTATTAACTGTATATTATGTATATTTTATGTAAACTATATCATTTTTAAAATACAAACCAAAAATACGAGGAATAATTATGTTTTCCATGTATTCTACAACATATTTATTAGTCCGTATCTAATTAGCGTGACGTCATAAATCTCGCTCCGAGGCTGTTCTATTACAGACGGCATTGGTCTGATATTTAGAAATGTCAAAAGCTGATGACATTTTACTTTTGACAATTATGCCATTTCGTGTTGATTTTTGCAAGAAGAGGAAGAACTGTCACTTGTTTTATTATTTTCTTTTTCTATTTCAGGTAAGTAAAAAGAGTTACCTATCTGATTCGTTCAGGCACTCAATTTAAAGAATATCAGTAACTTTTTTGACAGAGGGACTTTATATTTGCCATGTTGGTAAAAAATAACGGTCAAAATTCAAAGTTATTCATTTTATAGACTATATTTAGTCAATATTAATATCACAGAAAAGGATGCGATCACAATGCGTTATGAATATTATCTAAACATTTTTTTTTTGGCTAACACGCAAGCAAAAAAAAAATATTTCGCTAAAATACAAGCCTACCATTGCAACCTCGAATCAAAACACTTATTACATTTGATTCTTTATTTTCAGACAGCAGAAGAGTGGCAAATTGTGTTCTTTATAACAGCAGGAATCTACTTATTCGGTGCAATTTTCTATGGTATTTTTGCTTCTGGAGATCTTCAACCGTGGGCAATAGAACAAGAAAACCGAAACACAGATACCATTCAAGAAGAAGGATTTACAAACAGAAGTTATATTCCTGATATAGCCGAATAAAACTACTTTAATAATAACAAACGTTTATTTATTAAAATTTATTATAAAATCTAAAGTTTTATAAGTTGGTCCCGGAATAAAAATAAATTATTACATTTTTTAATATAAAAAATTATATCACATAATAGCAAACTTAAATTAATTTTGTATATAAAAATAGATTATATGTAAAACAAACACATACATTAATAATAGCATACATTTTGTTTAGTTTTCTATTATACAACATATAAATTGTAAAAAAACATACACTATAAAAAGTATCATTGCTATAGGGTGTCAATGATAAATAAAAAAATGCATCCAGTCAAAAATTTCTCCGAAGATCATAAATGTCATTCAGGCATTTTTACGATTTGTTTTATAAATATTTTAAAGTACTTAATGCTATGAATGAAATATTTGCAGAACTTTCGTTTATATTGGTGTTATTAACTACTCACTACTACAAAACTATAGCTCTCTTGTGAAATCAAATTTGTATTTATGAGTGAAGTAAAATAAAGGTCCACCAACCATTTTTCCGAATATTAAAATAATTTCTTTTCAATATCATATTGAGTATAGTCAATCCAGTGCGAGAGTATACATATCAAATATAGTCTATTCAGTGTGAGAGCACATAACTGTAACACTTGTTGTTTGCCATTTGAATTCAAAGGTAGATTATATTTTGATATTTCTTGGGCATCTTCTGTAGAAGTCGTGCCTCCTCTTCCTATGCATATATACAGGATAAGTCAGGTATAAGTGCAAATACAGTACAGTACAGGATACAGTACAGAATAAGTGCAAATATTTTTAGAGGTGGTATATTTCGACCCAAAAGAACACGTCTATAAGCTTTTATTTCGCAAAAAACGATGTTGAAAATCCGTGCACTTCCTTTTAAAGTTTCCTGTATATTTTAGAAAGCTTTTTAGAACAGCCTGTTTACCGCAAATGTTCCCACGGTATAATTTCTTAATCTCTGATCAACGTGTTTCCATGGTTACGGCTTTATTCTATTATTACAGCACTAAAAGAGATGCAGATACAGAAAAAAATCCGGTGACTCTCAAAATGTTTTAAAAATAAATATTTTTTTTAATTTACAAACTTGAAGAACTCAGCTATTTTGTACTTATTTGAAAAACAATAAAGAGGAAATTTGCTTCTTTTACCGAGCCCTAAAAATATTTTTTAAAGAGTCACCCTGTATTACCTTTAGTCACACTGACTTCTATTGATATTTTTCTATTCTTTGAAAAGCTTCAAATTCTTTCGATATACAGCATTTTATAGTTCTTGATTTTAATAGACAACCAATTTACATTATTGGCTAACACAATATCATTGCTGTTTGAAAAATATAAATAATATATTGACAAAAATTGTTGAAATATAAACTTATTTGTGTCGATCTTGCCTATCCCTACGTTTTCTGCTAAACATTCTGATTTGTTTATACTCATCATCGTATACTTCAGGAATCGTAGTTTGTAGGAACTCGTTAAAAACCATTTTAACGGAAGTGGTGTTAAATAGGGCTTGCTCGTATTCGATAAGTTGCTGGAAAAATCCGCAGTTAGGATGAATCCTTGGTCTAATTTTTTTGACATGATTGTATGCTTCCTGAAGTGTTAATTGGTGATATTTCATTAAGTATGCCAGACAAAGTGTCGCCGATCTGCTAACACCAGCCACACAAAAGACAAGTACTCTGCCACCTAGCGATGTTTCCTGGAAAGAAAAAAAATGTTTGTAATATATTGGTTAATAAAACTTAATTATAAATAATATAAAAGCAATAATACAAGCAATTCACTAAATTTCATAATTAATAAATTGTAAAATTAAATATAATTATTTCAATATTATAATAACAGTGGAGTTGTTGGTATTTGTAATTTTAAAATTATTTGCCATGTAATTTCTGTTTTGTAATGCTAAAAATAAATTTTCAAGTATGCATAACTATTTTAAAAATATACAATTATAAAAACTAAGCAAAATCTATATATTTTATTGGCTTCATATTACGTTTGCTGATCAGAAATCAAAAACAATTAGACAAAAAGAGATATAAAAAACTTTGATCGTTTACTTAAAAAGCAGACAGTTAAAGCATGAGGCTGTGGTTAAAGCCATCTCATACAGAAAGTTTATAGTTATATATTCTCAATGAAAATGATCGTTTTTAGAATTCTCCAAACGCCAGTCCACAGTTCAAAGTAAAGTAATTTGGTGGATTGCAGCGAATTAATGACTTTTTTTGCTCACTCTGTTACAATCATAAATAAACAGTCTAGTGCAAAAAACCGCAAGGGATAAGATGACAGATTTTTATTCCAGAAATAACTTGTACAACAACTGCGTTAAGCATAGATGATTTTTCACTTGCATTATTAGACATTAGCCGATCAGTTAACTGGATAAGCTATGATTATTATGCAATTTATCTTCTATTTTTAGATAGAGTACTGCTCTGGCAAACTAAATATATATAAATCTCCCTCTTCATATTATACAGGGTGAGTCTTAAATAAGTGCAAATATTTTTAGAGGTAGTATCTATATTTCGACCCCAGAAACACGATAATAAGGTTTTTTTCGTCGAAAGAAGTAAAATAACTCGGTTATTTTGGATTTATTTGAAAAAAGGTAAAGACAATATATATGATTTCTTTTATCGAGATCTACCAGCCCTGAAAATATTTGCACTTATTTTAGATTCATCCTGTATACCTCTTAAATATTTTCGCACCGTCGCGTCGCTCGCATAGCCTACCCGCCATATTTTGGTCGCGATAGAACCACATCAACTTTTTACGTCTCTTACGTCAAAACTGTCACAGTGACACGTGTCTTCCACGTCAAGTCGCCTTGCTCGAATCTATCGACATTCCAAATTTCATTTAAATCGGACGATTTTTTTATTTGATTCATTGATGACGCTCTAAGATCGTTACCATTTTTGTGACGCTTGGCGACCTTGGCGTGACGCTAGCTCGTGTGTCACGGCTTTGATTTTTACTCCCATCGCGTGTAAAGACGTTTCACTTCAAAAAGTTCGTAAACAGTATGAAATTATGGGTCATCAAAAATAAGTTTAAAACTTCATTCAGAACCTCGCAATTAGTGGAATAAATTAGTGGTTTCATTACACTTAATACTTTTTAGTTTAATACGATCATTCACAATGTTTAAAAAATTCAATTAAAATTAATAGAATATCCTAGCAACAACTTGCATTAGTCACATACTTCAATACTCTTCCTTATAGAATTGGAAGAGTATTTCCTATTCTTCCTAATACTATAAGTATTGAAGTCATGGTTACAAAGTCCCACTTAAGATGGGCTGGTTACGTATGCAGAATGCAAGGAAACCGCATACCAAAATCTTTGATTTACGGTGAGTTTGTAGACAGTAAGATGAGGCCGGGCGGATATAACTCAAGAGGTAGGTACAAGGATATTTTCCACGAAAACTTAAAGGGGATTAACAAGCAGAATGAGTGGGAAGAAGCAGCTCACAATAGAACGGAATGGAGAAGAATTGCGAACTCAGTTAACAGCGACAAGACAAGCGAAGAGGCAACAAGAATGCGGTAGACAGATAACATCACGGCTTTTCAGTCACAGAAAAGCTCATGAAAGAAAACGTCTTGCGTGACCATCTTCTGATGCATGTCAAATACTCGTCAGCGAGTAAAGGCAGTATGTATGTATATGTATGTATTAGTCACATGTATCTTGTATCCATAGAGTAAACCTAATATTTCGATTATAAAGCAATCAACTCAATGACTAAAGAATCCAAGGACAAATAACACCCGAGAGCAAAATGTGACCATGTCACCAAACAGTGCCGTAGCACATATTTTTCTTAACCTAGCTGTTTGAAGCAATATTTATATTTTTTGATAATTGTTTTGACTACGCCTATGGTGTATCATCCTAATTAATTACGAAAAAGACGTATTAAAATGTTAACAAAAGGTACAAAACTAGTATCGACGTATAGCACATATCAAGTACATATAGATGTTAATTGAAATTGAAAAATAATTATCGAATTCAATAAGAAAACGCTAAAAACTTGGAGTGGACTATTTATTTACCTATGAAACGTAACTCCTGGCTCATTCTTATCGCTGCTGCTTTTACACTTGAAAGCTGAACAACTAATCACCATTGTAATAAAGTTTATACAAAGTTTACTACACACAAACTATTAAAAATCGCTAAAATTGTCGCTGATGACCAAATGATGACTCACTGTTTGCCACCAAAAGAAAGGTCTTAAGGTCACAAATTCCGCTGCAGCCCGTATAGGGGCGTTACATGTCCTTATAATTCTTTAGTCATTGAATTATCTTTTGATTTCTAACCACAATTTCTCTTGACGAAAGATAACCAAAGGCCAAAATGACATTTCTCGCAAATTTTGAAGTATAATTAGTGGAAAAGTTAAAAGTTTGAGGGTGCATCCATACTATCCTAAAAACGGCGTATCGGCGTAACGGCGTAACGGCGTAACGACCTTGAATCGATTTCCAGTAATTCTATTGGCTGAAATTTTTAACAGATGAATTTGAGAGATAAAATTTCTGACAGATGAATTTTTCAGCCAATAGAATTACTGAAAATCTATTCAAGGTCATTACGCCGTTACGCGGATACGCCGTTTTTAGGATAGTGTGGATGCACCCTGATAACTTTTTTTACTAATTGAAAATGTCTACCACTAATTTTGACGTTCTGACTGCTTACATTGAAATTAGAGGAACAAACTTCTATGCTAATTGAAACCACTCATTTATTGCGATGTTCTGAATGAAGCTTAGAGAGAACTAATTCAGCCTCTCCATTAAAAAATCATTAAAATATTGTAGTAAGCATTAGGTATTGTTTTTGTAGGACTTTGCGATCGTTTGTCATCTAACCCCTTGTTTATATGTCTACATTGTCTACATCATACATATAATTAAAAAAAAACTAAAAAATGCGTCAAATATTATTTTAATACTCAAAGCACCAACACTACCATGAAACATTAATTGTATTTGAACATTTAAATTTAATAAATTTTCACAATATATCTAAATATACATTGACATAACGATAATTTAAGACACGAGTCAACAATAATTGTCCTATAATAAATGTAGTGAGATGTTCACGGCTTTGATATGAAATGTAAATAATTGTAAATCAGGTGGGCTCCAATACTGGCAAGCTTAAATTCGTGTGACTAATCGCTTGCGAAAAGCTAGGTATTTTCGTGTTGTACAGAAAAAAATACCTTGAGTGATATTTCTGACGGTTTTATTTTGCTGATGACTGTCGTAAAGCCTTAATTCATGTGTTCGTCGGTTATTGCTGGTTGTTTATCATAAACTTTGCCAGAAGACTACGTTTATTGTTTACATGTGTTGTTGAGAGGTTTTAGTGCCAATTTTCATTATACAAAATAAACATATATATTAAAAAAAATAACGTCACGCTTGTGCTACGATAGCTTTTTTTAGAACATTTAAGAGGCTCTAGATGACTAATATTGAATTCTTTTTAACGGTTTATTTCAGTTCTTTAATATCTATAAATTTTCCTACTTTTGAATTCTCAAGAACCTGGAAGACTCCATCAGTAACCTGGAATGGGAATGGGACTTCTCCAACTGTCTAAGATACTCGAAAATAATTCTCAGAATTTACTACTTAGAAAAATAATTGATTTTCATTGATTTAAGGAAGAACAATATTCGTATTGTCACGGGAGTTTTAACAGGACTCTGTCTCCTCAACGATTGTTGATTTTTTTTTTAAATGGAACCCCTGTATATTATTGCATAATTCAATAATTCCTTCACTGCTAAGAAAAAATCGTAATACACATAATGTACCTCAAACCAACCTGAATTATTGACTTTTGAAAATATCACTTAAACAATTCAATTTAATTCATTTCGATGTGTTCGGTTTCATTTAACGAAGCCATTTTGCAAAAACTTTGATATTTTATAATATTTGACATTTGTTCTCAAGTTGGCATTTATAGATGTATAAAATGAAATTAAAGCAAGTCTGGAAATTACAAAATTCTCGTTTAACATTCCAAAATCAAAACTTCATAATAATTCGGAAATGGTTGAATTTAGGTGCATTATGTGTATTACGATTATTGCTTAAAAATGAAGGAAGAATTGAAATATGCAATAATATATAGGGGGTTGCATTTAAAAGAAAATAAATTTTGATGTGCCACAACTTTATGGCCGACTCTGTATACTTATATTTACTACTAGTTAATAGACATTTAAAAACCCTATAACTTTTGCAGTACCTTCTATATTTTACTTGATAATCGACTGTTTCCATACATATCATCGACCCTGTATACTTAATCTAAGGTTAAACCAGTATTAAATTAAACATCATAAAATATCCAGTCATTCACACAATTTCCATTAATATCAATATACAAGGTGAGTCTTAAGTAAATGCAAATCATTTCAGGGGTTTTATTGATACATCTCAATAAGAGAAACGTATTTTCTCTTTACCGTTTTTCAAATAACACCAAAATAACTAAGTTATTAAAAAAACTGATTTTGAAAATTAAAAAAAAATTATTTATTTTTTAAAAAATTAGCCATGATAGCCACCGGATTTTTTCTGTATTTGCATCCCTCTTAGGGTTGCCAACCGTCCTCTATTCCAGAGGACGGTCCTCGTTTTGATCTCACTGTCCTCTTTTCTCTCACGTCTTGAAAAAGTCCTCTTTTACATGCCAAACTCAAAATCTAAAAAATATTCTTCTATCGCCACAATGCTTTAAAAAATTGTTAATCTATTTACGCTACTACCACTCGTTTGTACAGTTGAAAATGAGAAATGAAGAAATATTTATGTACAAGAAATATGTGTGGAAGCGATAAACATGATTAACTATTTTGGGTTTACTTGCTATTAGCTTCTGTTTCGAAAAAAAAGTTTTGTTGAAAACGGTTGGTTGTATTTTAACATGTTTTGAGTATAAATAATTTTAAGAAAGTAAGAAAGACCATCAATCTATAGTGTCTTTTTTACCCTCTCGTCCTTTATTTTTTAGCCGACCATACCAACAGGTATGGTAGGCTAAGATTGGCAAAAAAAAAAGTTTTTAATTTCACTCAAAATAAGTTATTTGGGTTATAAATGACCTAAATCCTAAATACAAAATATTTTCATAGTGTCTGTCTGTCTGTCCGTCTGACCGTCTGTCCGTCTGTCTGTAACACGATAACTGAAAAACCGCTAAACCGATTATAACCTAATTTGGCACAAAAATACTGTGTCACCCGAGAACCTGGCCATTAGTTGGTGGGGGTGGAGGGTTGGTAAGGAGGTATGGGAGGGGGTTAAAAATTTTAAAAAATCGTCACTCCAAAATTACAGTAGCTAGCGAAACGCGGTTTTCAATTTAAGATTAGGAATAATATTTACAACAAAATTTGTAATAACATCAAAATCAGTCAAAGTCGCAGTTTTTGAGATAATTGAAACTAAAAGAACTGCCTACCAACTTTTTATTAACATATTTTAGTATGGGCAATTTTTTTTATTTTGAAAGTTGACAACCCTACTCTTTGTGCCGTAACCATGGTAATCTCAGAGATTAAGAATTTAAATCTTTTTTGCGAAAAAAAAACTCATAGCCCAATCAAATACTCCACCCCAAAAATATTTGCACTTATTTAAAACTCACCCTGTATAATACTGCAATTAATATTTTTAAACATGTTTACCACTTTTCAGTCAAATATCTCAAAAATCGAAATAACATTTTACTCGTTTTGTGGACCATTCACTAAACAGTCTATTTAGAAACTCCCAACAAAATGAATCACATCTCTTTATTTTGTATTTATTTTTAGGGACCCATGAAAAGTCAAAGCATTCCTGGAATTCCCGACACATCCTGGAATATAGGACGGCCGGCGTCGCGTCGATACGAGTGAAAAAAAAGTCAATCTCGTGTAGAAATTATTATTTTGTTTATTCGAGAATTCAAGACGTGAAGATGGGTTAACTGGACGATTTAGCAGAAATATTAAGGATGCTCAAATGTCCTCAAAAAGACGCCTTGATTCTATTTTCGTAGAGAAATAAATTAAAAGGGTATTAATCTTAAGGTGTCTTTATTTAATAATGTATCATAAACACACATCTGACCATGAACTGAGCTTTTAGATTTCAACTGTACTTTCTTAACTGTACTTAAAAATTTCACACAATTTATTAGACAACAAATTTTGAATTGTACTAAAATAATTAAATTTCTAATTTTAATAAAAAATTATTACAATTTTGTTACAATTACTAAATAAACGTTTTTCATTTTCTTATTAGATTTAACAACTCTGGTAAACTGTTTTTTCTTTAAAAAAAACTATACTAAACTACAAAAACGGCATTTTTTTAAATTGTTTTTAAAGGTTCAATAGTAGATGCATTGTTTTATTAGGAGTAAAATGATACTTTTTGTGGTGAGGCTGTGCGTTTTTGAAGTCCGACGAGTCTATCAAATGGTATGAAAAATATCGAGGGTTAAAAATCAAGAGTTGTATTCATTTCTGGAGAAACAAGAAGTGACCGAAAACAGTTGAATACGTTGATCAATACTAATTTATGTGATACTAATGTGACATTACACTATGTGATAATGAATTAATAAAAACGTTATAGGGGTGAACCACTTTTGAGAAACACCCAGTATAGTCCATCGAAATTCTACCAACTACCGCTACTTCTACTGCCTCTAGTTTATAAATTGAAATAATATAATTTCTGAATAAATAAAAAAGTGTATAAGACTTCTAATAAAACCAAGATACTTACTTGGTCAATTATATCAGCTACTTCATCAAAATATGTCGATATAGCCGCATCACAAGAATCCCTTACATTCACTTTATGGTATGCTACAGCATTACTCAATGGGCTGTAAGGTAATTCGGGGGCTGCACAGATAATACAGCTGACATCCAGAGCTTCGATAACTTGAGGAATGACGCATGTGGCAGAGGTAAGAATCAAATTTTCAGTCAGTATAGAGATATTGCTGCTGTTGGAAATCAGTTGCAATCTGGATAAGATTGGGTTGAAGCTGAAACAAAAAAAATGAATTATATAATGATAAAAAGGTTAATTTTTCTTGGTAAATATTCTTAGCTAATATTCATCAATAAATGTAAAATTGTCGTAGAACATATTTCAGGATATCTAATGTATTATGACAGATGTTATCTCTATTTCTATTTCTGGAATCTTCGAAATGCAGAATTTTTAAAAGTTCACCACTTTTAACTAGTAGGCTTTCTGAACTTTATTGATGATCTGCCCCTAATGGAACTCGAAAACATAATTTTCAGCATTTTTTTGCAGCCTCTTTCGAGAATAATTGAATAGCTAACCAATATCCAAGCCGCTGGCCACCGAGGCCGCCAGACTTAGTACCTATGGATATTTATCTTTGCGAAAGACTTAAAGTTGATTCTCACTATTCCTACCGTTCTTTACTACCTTCCGTTCCCATTCCATATCCGTTCCATATCCGCTCCGTATTTTTTATTGCATTGACGCTATACGTAACCTTCCGTTCCGTATCAGTTCCATACTTTTTATTGTAGAATTTATATCATTACGAAAGTTTTATTTTAAAAATGTGTGTATTTTGAAAAAGGTAATAGATTTAATTAGGAGGTGAAAGAGTAAATAAATATCAGCAAAATGTTAACAGAGCTGGTACAAATGTAAGAACTTGACAACGCTGTTTCCGATACGCTTTAGTCCGTCTGCCAAAAATATGTATGGAAGGAAAGGATATGGAACGGAAGGGAAACGGAACGGATAATGTGCATTGTCCTATTCATTTACTATTTACAATGATATAATATTTTACATAAACGGAAGAGAGCTGATACAGAAGGTATAGTAAGAATCAACCTTAAAGAAGACGAAGAATCTAGACGTATATGTTATGTGAGGGTATCTTTCTCCTTCACTGAGTTAATGAATTCCGCGAGAATTGTTATAAAATTCTACATCTCTCATTATAAATATTATTTTCGTTTTAATAGCTGCTCATATTTTTCTGCATTACGGCCGGCACTGTTCCAAGCCTATACTTATTCAAAGTGGGCGAATTTTTAAAAACTCTATATCTCAAAGAGGAATCAAGCAAAATATCAAGTTTGCTATAGGGTAATTTTAAATTATTTTGAATGAATTAAAAATATACGGGTGTCCCATATAAAAATCAAATTTTCTGTTGATAATTCTTAAATTATTAATTTAAAAAAATATATATTTAAGCCACTAAATTCGACGAAAAAAGGTGCTTTGCTTGTTTTTTATATAAATACAAAATTTTCCATATCAAAAAAGTTACAGCGATTTGTTAAAAATGCACATTTTTGAATAACATCCCGTAATTCCGAAATGGTAACAGATATCGATGTGCGGTTTTTACCATCAGGTTTTTGATAAAATTGAGCTCCAGACACCGACATTAGTTTTTGTCTATAAATCTCCTATAGACAAGGGTGTTTCCCTTTAAAAGTGTCCAATTTGGCCCAACCTGCACAAAACACAATTTTTTATTTTTTTTCCACACATTAAAATAAAAAACTTACTACTACTACTACTTACACATTATTTTTCCGATAAAATCACGGACAGAATATTTCAAAGGCGGCTCTTATACTAGATACTGCCAACAAAAAAAGTATCTTTTAACGAACACTAACCTTCCCAAACCAACAGAATTAAACATCCTGAATGTTGACAAAAATAATTTTGACAGCCTTGAAATAAGTATGCATGCCCTCGAAAATGACATTAATAAGGGGATTTAATCTTTCTATCGAGGATTTTCTGGTCTTTCAGTTAACGCGCCTTGTCATTTGTCAAACATCAGTTTACTTTTTTCAGATCTTGAAACGAAGAATGACGTGTTTGACGGGAGGAATTTTTATTGGCTCATTAGCCAAAACAACATTTCGGAATGGAATTCCGAACGATCGGTTTTGTTTACGCATATTTTTGAAAAATTTCGAAATCAAAACATATTTCCGTTGCGAAAAGTTTCCGTTGGAACATTTGAAAATATAATAATCTCCCAAAAGTATGTAAAAAATTAATGTTATGAAATATATTGCATATGGTGACTTTTCTAATTACTATATAAATAGTAGTCGTAATAGTAAAAGATCACATTCTTTATTTTTTGTTCTTAAATCTTAACAACTTCGATTTTTTCGGTTAATATAGTACTAGAAGAAATGGTACCATTAGATAGCTTTGTTCATATTGTTTTTTACATTTATTTATTTTAATACTGTCTATCCAGAATCTATATCTTAATAATTAATTTTTGAATAATGTGACCATATGCATTTAGAATTTATTTATAATTTTATCTTTTAGTATGCCATATAACATACTTCGATACTTCTGACCATAATCCTTATGATACCTTAATATAAGTACTGGCCAAACCAGCTCCAAAACTTATTGCTACCTTTACACGCTTGTCAGTCTACCCTAAGTAAGTGTCCAAAAGCACCAGCATGTAACTGGTGAGTTTGGATCCTATGTGCTTGGAAAAACTTTTTTCCCGTCTGGTAAATTATGGACTCTTAGAATATAGAACGTTTACGCTGGTTGCAATGCATTTACATGTTAGTAACCAATTAGTACATTAGTACTATCTTGAAAAAGACTATGAACAACATTCCTCATAATATTTTCCAGAAAAAAAATGACAGCTCTATCTTCATTTCCGAACCAATTCTGATAATATTTTTCCGTTCGTGTGGTATATTCACATTATTTACAAGCATTTAAATTACTTCCAAATCCCTTGGCATTTATAATAGTCCTTCGTCTTGTGGACGCTTGGCAAGTCTCTTTCCAAGACTTGGCAAGCATGTAAAGGTGGCATATAAAAATTACTAGACTCGCATTACGTAATAGGTAGCATTACATAATATTTCATAAGTACCATACTTTCCCTGTACGAAACAGTTTATTAAAAAAGTTTTAATTCACAGGAAAATTGTATTTTCTGTCAGTTTTAGATGTCATCTGTCGAAACATTTCTTGGTTTGTTGAACATCAGATTTCATCTAAAGTTTTCTATTAAACATCTCATCTACTCGTAATAATTGTCTTAAGTATTACAGATGGGGATTCTAACCTTTGGTTTAAAATTATATTAAATCTCAGTTTTAATCATCTGCTTTTTTTGTCTATAGACTTGGTGCATTCTCCGCCGGTGCTACCACCATCGGGAAATATCGTAAACAACCGGTATATACAAAAACAGGGAAGTTGGATATCCGGGAAAGTTGACTGCATCACCACCAACCACGTAATTACGCCCTCCTATCCGTGTTAAAATTTTTTTCAAAACCATAAACGAGTTCGGTTTTTTTTCAGTTAATTTTTCCTAGCCTCGTACCTGAGTGTTTTATAGTTTCAATAACTGCACTAGCAATAAACTAGTATATTTAAATAGTATGACAAAGCCACGATTTTAATATTATTTCAATGCGATCAACATCCGAACTGCGTGAAATACAGAGCGAAAACTTCTGATTTCTGCCGTATCGAGCGCTGCGGTCGGAATTTTCAAACTCAATTGAAACGCACTATCCATCAGTACTAAAACTAAAGTATTTTGATGTATTGTGGTGAATTAGTGTTTTATTTTGCTGTTGAAACTATGCATTGCTGTTTCCTGCTCTAGTGTTATAACTCTCTGGTTCTGGCATACAAATTTAGACCATAAAAATAATATTGAAGGTACAACACTGAAATATAATTTAAAATATCTCTTTCGAATTGAAATGTTGACTTTTGACAATTTATAATAATTTTATTACAACGTTGCATAATTATTTTATAATCTACATAGTATGAAGTTATAAGTGCCAATGTACTTATTTAATAATCTAAAAAGTCTGTTCTTTCTTAACACGGTTAAATCGAAATTTTAACACTGTTAGACTTTCTATGGCGCCTCTTCTATTTCATAGACAACATAAATCACATTGGTCCAATTGGATTAATCCAGTTTGGTGACATATCGGATTAATTTGTAGTAAGAGTTATAAAAATAATCGGAAAATAACTTAATCCTTGACACAATAAAGTACCTATTTTTAACACATATTATAAAAACTAGATTTTTCTATTTCCACTAAATTTTGTGACAATTGACATTATTGACATTATTTTCATAAACACTGTTATGTCTTCAAAATAATTATAGATATACTTTTAAAATCCTAGGTTCGGGTACAGGACTTTGAAGCTATTCATTTATCTTTGTGACACTTCTCACTTCACACACTCTTTGTACTTCTCTTTTAACTTATACAGGGTTAGTCTTAAATAAGTGCAGATATTTTTAGGGGTAGTATATCTCGATAAAAGAAACATATTTTCTCTTTAATAATACTTTGAAAAATATACGTTTTAAAACTAAATCTTAATTAACATAAAAACGATTTATTTTGGGAATAGGAAAACGTACAGTCAAAAAGTAACGAATTGAAAAACCCTTTCACTAGTGAAAGGTGCTTTCACTATTTGAAAAAAAGATTTATAATTTTTAATAGCTCAATTCCATGGCAGCTACCGCCATTATTATATGACATTCAAACAATTTAATTTTTGAAATAGATAGTCACATGTCTTATGTCTTGTCTTTAGGTCTTTATGTCACAGTGGCTGTGGTAATCACTAAATTTGACTTTTAGGTTATACAATTTTTTTTGACAGTCAAAAATGTTTAATATTTTTTTTTCTCAAAAACGGTTAATGTTAGGTATAGAGTGTTTTATATCAAAATTCATAAAATTTTACAGAGTTTAATTTTGTAATAAAAATGTGGGCACCCATTTAAAATAAGAAAGTTGCTGTCAACTTTCGGTATTTCCGGAAGTGCCGCCATATTGAAAATATTTTTAAACGATACATCACGTTGTAAAACAATGATGTGCAAAAAATCTCTGATCTAGATATTGTAGTTTTCTAGAAACTTCTAATGCACTCTGTCAGTTTCATATCTGCTGATCGGAACGATATATTTGATTCTTTTGTCCACTGAGAATAGTAATATGAAATAATGTTCTATTTAAGTATTAATTATTAATTGAAAAATACAGCCCATAGTACTCGATATTGATCTGGAAATCCGTCTTCCAGATTAAGTCCAAATAAGATTTCTCGTTTACACGAAAATAAATCTTTTGGTTGATATTAAATTCTGCATAAACTGAATTGTGACTTGACTAAAAAAAATTATAGAATTAGTTGGCAGTCTAGTCAGCTACTACTTAGACAATATAGATTACTTTGATAGAATTAGGTTGAACGGTCTTGAATTAATCAGTGGTATTAGTTATAAAAATAATATAAAATAAAATATTAATCCTTGACACAATAAAATAGTTTAGCTTATGTATATTTTTAGTAAAATGTAAGTTAGGATTACCATGAAAAATTTTACGTTATTTCTATTTAAAAATTTTGTTTTTTATAATTTTTTTTTATATAGAATTTTTCGATTTGTTGTTTTCCTACAAAGTTATTTCTATATAAACAATATATTATATTGTCATTTTGGTACACCCTATAATATATGTAAATTATTTTGTAGGAAAACCAAAAATTGAAAAATGTTTCTTTTATAAAATAACATCACTTCCTGAATTTTTTCACATTTATGGATTTACGCCCTGTAGGTATATTTTTTATTGATAAAATCTATTATCAAGTTAAATAATTTGAAGAAACTAAGAAACCTACAAAGATGTTTGAACTAGACTATATTCGAGACTAGATTTATTATTGCACGTTTCTGAAGCCAAAACATGCATTTCATTCAACTCCGGAAGCTGGATTATGAAAAACTACTTTCTAAAAATAGCGTCCAAAGAATGCAAAACTCAAATTCCAACACACATATGCATAAATACGCGTCCCAGAATCTTCGCTAAAAATAAGTAATATAGTTTGCAAATTTCAAACAGGCTTTCAGAAACATAGTAACATAATTAAACTGTTCAACAGAACAAAATGGAATGTATGTACATAAGTAATGAGTTACACCTTTAGTTTCATTACACCTACAACAGCTTGTAAAACATTTTTAAAATTATCTTATGATTAATTTTATTTATTGTCAATATTTTTACAGTGTAATTCATAAATTTATATAATATGCGCCAAACTCCTCAGTTCGTGTTTTTTAACTAAAAATTACTATACAGTTAATTTCTATTTAATTATGGATATTTTTCTAATTATAGATCGCTTTACGTCAGGGCCTATTTTACCATAAGACCCATAAGGCTCGGGCCTTGGGCCGAGCCCTATTTTTTTCCTTTATTGGAAAATAGGGCCCGACCAGATGAAAAATAAACCCTGCTCTACGTCTCTTTTTTTAAAGGTAAGCGTAAAAGTAGGTATACTATTACTATCGACAAGGAAGTTTTATGATCTATACCATTAAATAAAAATACTAAACTGCCCCCATTCACTGGGCGATTTTGTGGCAACCAAGTTGAGCAATAAAATTGCTTCTAAATTTCTTGGGAATTTGGTTGCTTGGAACATGGAACAGACCATTTATAAGGCGACATTCAAGCAATTTGGTTGTCAAATTGCCCAAATCGAGAATTTCCGACACTCTCCTGTTCACGTGTACTAAATAATAAAAATAGTTGAGCAACCCGGTTTCCGACGTCCACTGATTTGGCGATCCTCGTACAACCTCTTTAAATTGCTGACAATCGCAACCCGATTCGCCTTCCACATTGTAAATCAAAAGATTGCTTGGCAACCACAAGAAGAGGAAGAGTAAATCAATGGAATGATACCTCCTTATAAATAAACATAATTTAAAAAGTTTAACTTTATTCAAATGTATTCACAGTGTATTTTGAGAATCTAACATTAGAACCATATAATACCCGATCCCGACCTAACCAACTCCGCTTTATTACAAGCCTCATTAACATACAATTGAATCATATAACACATATTTATTTTTAGCAGCAGTCACGAACGCTAATTTCATGGAGATTAATTGATGCTGATAAAACTAGATCGATATTAGACAAGCCCAAGACAGAAATACTTCATATTGCATTTATAAGTATCGTTAACTAAATAAATATATTTATAAATATGAATAAAAAAATAGATATCTATTTATTTATATTCTATTTGTCTTAAGTATATATATATTTTGTATTTTAAGGTGTGGATATTCTCGTGAGGGTTTTCTCGCTTATGAGTAGACAGGAATCTCAGAGTATTCACGGGTTTTAGTTTTCTTTTCTTGTGAAACCAAAGATGCCCAAAAACAAAATATGTTGATAACCAGTTTCATAACCCTTTAGCTTTAGTAATACAGGGCGATTTTGATGTGGATTTTGCTTGTGTCATATTTGTCTGACAACTTATCAATAAGCTATTCAAAAACGGATTCTTGTACAATTTCTACATTGAAGGCAGTCTGGCTTAGTTTTTTCTTAATATATTTGCAATGATTCAATACCGACCAATGGTCATTTTAGGGACACCCTGTACTTTTTTAAAAATTTCACTTGTCTTTCTCAAAAATACAAAACAGAATGAGTGTAGTATTAGTGTTTTATTTTTCTATAAATATAGAAAATTCAATCTGGTAAATTTAAAAAATATATCAATTTAATAAATAATTATTACTAAATTATAAATATTAATTATAATATTAATGATGGTTGTATTTTAAGTTGAGTTTTAGAGATTTAAAAAAAATAATTATGATTATAAAGTCGATTTTTTAAATTTCTTTTATATGAAATATCTCCACTAAAATCGAACTTTTAAAAATTATAAAATCTGTTTTCAGTAAAAATCGGGAAATCCACAGACCACAGACTCAAATTCCACAATATCTTTTAACTGAACACAAATTGTTCATTTTCAATTATTTTCTCAGAGATTAAAGTATATGTCCAAAAAAACCTATAAGAAACTTGCTTTGTGGATTCTAAAACCGTTTAATAGGCATACAGAACTAATATTTCCATTGTTTTACTGTAATATTAAGATATAAAAAATATGCATCTAATCTATACTAATATATAAAATCTTTAAGTGACTGACATACTGATTAATCACAATCCTGCTCAAACCACTCAACGTAAGAAGCTCAATTTTGGCATACATATTGATTCTAGGGTATAGAGGTTCGATAAGAAGGGATTTTTCGAAATTCCAGTTCTAAGAGGGTGAAACCAACGACATCTAAATAAAGGGTGAAACCACCCCTCAAATATTACAATATTTTTTATTTAAAAAACGGCCAAGTTTCCGAAAAAACGCTTAAACACGTATATTTTATTTTGTTTTTTTACATATTTTTAAGATTTTTTAAAAATGTATACAGGGTGTTTCGAAAAATCTGGTCATTCTAGTCACGCTAGTATTATATAAAATTCTCGTCTCACAGTTTTAGTTACTATACTCCTCGGAAACGACGCGACCGATTTTGATGAAATTTGATATATTCAGTATATCTTAGAATAGGTTGTTATTTATTTTTTATATCCATAAGTGATAAGGATGGCCCATCCCAATTTTTTTTTTATTTTTTGGACAAATTTTTTTAATTTTATTTTTTTATGATGTGGTATTAAAAAATACATACAACGCTAAATTCTCACCCTAATCTAACCTAACCCCTATTTTTTAATAGCGATATTAGTAATTCAATAATGCTCAACCACGTGAATAAAATTGACTGTTATCCGATAAAAAATATTTATATGGCAAAACAACATTTGCCGGGTCAGCTAGTATAATAGATATATTTTTCGCCTTTTATAAATAAAAATAAAAACAATAAAAAATAGTAAAAAAATATTAAATAAATAAAATAATTTGTCTCAATATTATCGAGTAAGAAACAAAATAAAAAATACAAAATAACAGTTTTAAATTTACCTTGCATTCGATTGGTCATTTAAGCTTTCATCCAGAATTCCTTGTAGGAGAGAATTATTTTTTAACCTTGATTTCCACGATTCTCTTCAGAAATCAGTCGCTCTATTTCCATGTTTTTAGTATAAATAAAAGCAATTCACAAAATTTGTTCGAGATACAGTAAAAGTTTGTGCGAAATTAGATACAGTAAAATAATAATATAATTATTATTATTAAATAGTAATATTTTCATTTTTTTTTACTGTGATATTAAATTCATTCTCCGTAAAGAAACGAAAAGAAGCATTACTACTTCCAAAATATAGGAAAGACAAAGAAATATTTCTGAAGAAGCATTATATTAAATGCAAAAGGTCGTGTATAAATAAATGAAAAAGATTTTTGTTTTAATTGATCCTAGCCACAACACCCAAGAAATAACAAACTTGTAATATTAAAGTGATATTTAAAAAAAGAATATTAGGATATATTTTCGCCTTTTATAAATGTCTTTAAATTTGCTTTTTTGATATTAAAAAAATAGTAAATAAAAAAATATAAAATAAATAAAATAATTGGTCTTCATATTATCGAGTAAGCAACAAAAATAAAAAAATACAAAATAACACTTTTAAATTTACCTTTGATTCGATTCATCATTTAAACTTTCATCCAGAATTCCTTGTACGAGGGAATTACTTTTGAAACCTTGGTTTCCACGATTCTCTTCAGAAATCATTCGCTCAATTTCCATGTTTTTAGTATAAATAAGAGCGGTTTTCACAAAATTCGTTAGAGATACAGAAAAGCCTTGTGCGAAATTAAAAAGTCACCAAACTGTTCGACGAAGGAGAGCCAAACAAAAACTGAGTCACGGAATCTCGCGTTCACCTGGAATTTTTCGCTGTGAGTCGTCGTTTTTTGCCCGCGCTCTCCCTGTTGAGGGAGACATGCGCCCAAAGTAGCGCATTCCAACAGGAGACAGGATTGTAAATAACGAGCGACGCGGCCGAATTCCTTTCAGTGTTTTCAATATTTTCAGCTGAAAACGACGGAAAGTCGAGCGGCGCCGACAGCCTGGAATTTGCACAAAACAAAAATACATACTATGTATTTATCTAATTTAATTTTAAAATAGTAAAGAATTGCAAAATAAGACACTAATTCACAACTTATTTCTTTTGGTGTATTGTGGAAAATTAGTATTTTATTTTGCTGTTGTAATACCAAATGTGGGGTAATCACCGCAACCTTAAAGATCTATTGTGTCCCCCCATTCTAGGAGAGACATGGCATTTCCAATCCTCCTCTTACAACAGATGTTCTTCCTCCGAGGGTGTACAGGGTGGCTCGAATTCGACGCTCATCATTGGGATTTCGGAAACCGTAAGAGATACAGGATCGGTTAAATGGAGGGAAAGTTGCGCAATTTGATGCTGAATAAAATGCCGTATTGCATTTTGAAAAATTCCGAATATATTCGAAGAAAAAAACGGAATTTTCAATTATGTTTTCTATTGTTTCCTGGCTTTATTTGTTAAGATAACTTAAAATGAAAAACACGTTTTCGTGGCCACTTTTTCTGTTCTATAATTTTGTGTGATTAAATATTGACTCTGACGTTTCGGCTTGTGGCAACCATCATCAACTTAATTTTTTTAAATACGGACCTGATTTTTTTTTCAATTTAACTAAATCCTTTCATCACTCTTAAAACACTATACCGTGCTGGCTACTGTTACTTTTGGGTCGGCATTTACATATGTCGAAGTAAATCGCATAGGGATCTTATTAAGTCGGAGTGAGAGAAATGCGACCGACCGACGCGCGACGGTGTGCTGTTGCGGCGTTGCCGATACGCCTTTCCCTATCAAGTAAAGTAAAATCACGATCGCAAACCGCTTATTTTTAAAAGATGTTTTTTCAAGAGATAACTAGATAAAATCGTTAGACATGTTTCTGAGCATCTGAAATGGAATTATAAGGATATTGTTAGGGTGTCATTTTTTATAACGAGAAAACGTCAGTAATCGCGATAATTTAAAAACTCAACTTTTTAACACATAACAGGCCATAACTCAAGAACCACTTTAGATGTTGAAACCTTTTTTTATTTTCAAGATCGGATATTTTACAATATGTTTACATAAGAAAAATTCGATAAGATTGTTTTATCCATTAAAAAATTGTAAACAATCTATCCATTTACTTTTAGAGCATAGCAATTTTCAGCAATCGTGTAATTTTTTTATTGATAAAGATTTTCACATACTGTCTACAAAGAAAATACAGCAGAAATATTAACAAAGTTTTTGAAAAAAACTACAATCTATTATTTCTAATAGATTTCGAGATATCGATTTTTGAATTCAGAGTTCTAATAGCCCGACCACTATCGAACGCCCACTCAATTCCACTTATTTTTACCAAAAATGCAAGTGTTTCTAGCTTGCACTAAAAAAAATTCAAGCTATAGGGAAAATTACAACGACTCGTGAATAAATTAACAAATCAAGTGTCACGAGACGTAATTAAATCGTGAAGCTGAACGCATGACGTACACCTTTCTCTAGAACTTTAAGTACTGACAGAGGTATTGATTGGGTCAACCGGTCAACTGCGACAAATCTGCTATATCCCCTTCCACGTCTCTTGGCGATGTGCACAGTTTCTCGGTTTATTTCATACGTTTGACAACGTGTTTACTGTCCTCTCTCTGTTCAGTACATTATAAACGCATTGTACTCTTCTTACATACGGAAATCTCGACCCAAGACTAACCTTTGCCAGCCCTTAGTATATAGTCACTTTGATATTTGCCGACGTTTCGTACAGAAAATTCCATCACCAGAATATTTTATGCAAAAAAAATAAGAAATAAAAATGCAATACGGCATTTTATTGACCATCAAATTGCGCAACTTTGCTTCCATTTAACCGATCCTGTATCTCTTACGGTTTCCGAAACCCCAATGATGAGCGTCGAATTCGAGCCACCCTGTACACTAGGCTTAGGGTGTCCGTTATTTACCAAGTTGATCATTTCTCTCACGACGCGCGACGCCCTCTAATTTTTTAGTTTATTGCCTAAAAAAAATAACAGACCATTGTACACCCTTAATTGCCCCCAAAGACGATTCATTTTCCATTTAAATTACATGGAAATTTGCTCCTTTTTACAAATAATTTTTTTTTCTCAATCTTGTTCTCTCGCCTCCATGAATTACACATTCTTGTACAGAATTGAGGGCTCTACAAAAAAGGTCTCTTACAGTTTTTCGATAAACCTACTCCTTCCATGAAGAAACTCCTCAACTTCCGCCGTATTAAAACTAATGAATTATTAAAAAATATACTGCTATCTGTCTCTTGTTCATTTTGAGAGCCACTAACAAATTGTTTATATATTAGAGAACTTAACTTTCTACCGCTATTTATAAATCTTGGAAGCTATCGTATCGGAACTTTTAAATATTCCTTTAGCTAATTTACGTAAAATAATATACCTTCAGCAAGATGGAACTGATGACACACATCACATACATGCAAGAGACACATCACAAGTACGAGGCATGTTTTTTAAGTAAGTACCGTTTTGGAATTAAAAAAAAACGTGCAAAGATATCGCAATAATTTTATTTTTACATGAAAGCCTGTACCTTAATCTACTTTTCTACATAATTTCCGTGAATATTGAGGCACTTGTCATAACGTGGCACCAGTTTTTCAATACCCTCCTCATAAAATTCTGCCGCCTGACTGGTTAACCACTGTATCACAACTGTTTTGACTTCGTTATCGTCTTGAAGACGCTGACTGCCCAGGTGTTTCTTCAAGTGCAGGAATAAATGGTAGTCACTGGGCGCCAGATCAGGGCTGTATGGAGGATGATCTAGAGTTTCCCATTTAAAAGATTTGATGAGATCTTTGGTCCGATTAGCCACATGTGGACAAGCATTGTCATGCAGCAAAACAATACCCTTACTCAACTTGCCACGTCTTTTGTTTTGGATTGCACGGCGCAGATTGTTCAATGTCTCACAATAAGATGCTGCATTGATTGTCTCATTACGAGGCAGAAACTCCACTAGCAATACTCCTTTTCTGTCCCAAAAAACTGTGCACATGATTTTCCGGGCAGAAATTGTTTGCTTAAACTTCACTGTTTTGGGTGATGATGAATGTCGCCATTCCATGGACTGTTTTTTCGATTCTGGTGTGACGTAGACCACCCATGTTTCGTCACCAGTAACAATTTTGTCTAAAAAATCTTCACCTTCATTGTGGTACTGCTCAAGGAAAGTCAATGCATTGCCTAAACGTTGGGTTTTGTGCAAATCCGTCAACATTTTCGGAACCCAACGTGAACACAATTTCCGGTAATTCAAGTTCTCGGTCACAATGCGATACAAAACACTACGAGAACATTGAGGAAAGTAGTCGCACAATGATGAAATTGTAAAGCGTCTGTTTTCTTTCACCTTTTCGTCCACTTTCTGCACCAAATCTTCATTAACGACCGAAGGACGCCCACTCCGTTTTTCATCATGCACATTTGTGCGGCCATCTTTAAATGCTCTCACCCATTTCCTTACCATTCCATCACTCATAATGTTTTGTCCGTAAACTTCACAGATCTCACGATGAATATCGATCGGTTTTACGCCTTTAGTACTAAGAAATCGTATGACAGCCCGTACTTCACAATCGGCGGGGCTCACGATTGTCGGAGGCATCTTAAACACTCAATAAACAACGTATACAATGAAGAATCAGACTGTACTGGCGTCTGTGCATAGACAAGAGATGTAGGTAACCAGCGCGCATGCGCGGAACGTCGACCATAGCGCTGCGGCGGCGGAATCGCAAAACGGTACTTACTTAAAAAACATGCCTCGTACATGCGAGAGGTAGCCGACACTCTATATAGAGTATGGCACTGTAAGAAGAAGAAGATGGAACTCCTCTTCACAACTTATCTTACAACGAAAAGATTAGAATTTTGTTAAATTATTAATTCTCAAATCAATGAATTGGAACCAATGGACCCATATGATGGTCTCCCTGAGTACTGGATTTGTCCTTTCTCGATTTCTGATTTTGGGGATTTTTGAAATATGAAATATATTGTGGCACCTAACACAATGTCGAACACCTGGAAAATGCTTTAATAATGCAAGCTAATAATGCAAGCTTTTAGATATTTGCAAACCCATCCCGTTATAATAAATTCCGTAAAAAATAGGAAAAATATATTCAGAGATTGAGTAGTAAAAGTTCAAAAGTAAAATATATCAATTCCAAACAAAATTTTAATAAGTGTATGATTATTTTAGTAAATACCATGTTGATTTTTTGTTATTTACCACGGCCACTAATAAGAAAATGACATATTTTAAATATTGCCGTAAATAAAGAAAATAAATATAGAGTGATATATATTTTTAAGAAGCTCATAGCAAGGCAGATCATATGATTTATAAATATACAAGGTGTTCTATTTGAAAAAACATAACTTTAGTTCATATTTTCAAAAATATTTTTTTCGTAGAAAAATAGATAAAGCCACTGTATTCTACGTAAAAAGTTCTACAAGAATCAGTTTTCACCTTCTCGATATCATCCATAATAACGGAGATACAAGGGCTGTACCAAATTGCAAAATTTTCAAAAAGACCCTGTAGCTCAGAAACGAAGAGGGCTATGCAAATTTTGTCTACAGCTTCTTCAGTTTCACAAAAAAGTGGCACAGGTCTGTGCAAACCGCATCCTTTTAGCTTTACTAATAACGGAGATACCATATGATTTCAACCAAAATGGGACACCCTGTACATTATTATATGGGACAGCGTGTATAGGAAGGATGGTGGCGCTCCCCTAAACACTCCCTCAAGGTTATTTACATAATAATAAGTTATTTACATAACAACTCTAAGAATCATATTTCTTGCAA